CACAGACAGACCCACAGACACACACACACTTACTGACACACACACATACACTTACAGACAGACACATACACTTACAGACAGACACATACACTTACAGACACAGACACACACATACACTTACAGACACACACACATACACTTACAGACACACACACATACACTTAGAGACACACACACATACACTTAGAGACAAACACATGTACACACAAATTATTAATATTAAATATCCACCCAGCCTCCCTACCTGGAGAGCTGGTGTGGATCTGTCCCTGGGGTCCAGTGGGGCTTCACTTAGGCGGGCGGCTAATCAGACGCAGCGAGGGGGCTCTAACCTCTCTGCTCTGCTCCCTCGCGGACTGTCTACGGATGCCGGGAGCCGGAATATGACATCATATTCCGGCTCCCGCGGCATCAGCAAACATCGCGCGAGGGAGCAGAGCAGAGAGGTTAGAGCTCCCTCGCTGCGTCTGATTAGAACGCTGCCATGCCGGGGGTCCAGAAGGTGGCCTGGCAGGAGGGAGCGCTTCCTCCTGCCGGTCACTGAAGACTTGCGCATGCAGAGCCGCTCGCGCCCGCCCAAAAGGAGAAATCCTCTTAAAAAGAGGATTTAGCCTCAGAAATCCCTACCGCCCACCTGGAATCCTAAAACGCCCACTAGTGGGCGGTAGGGACCAGGTTGACGACCCATGCTTTAGGTGATCGATAGGTGATCTTGTGGTTGTGTGTGTGTGACCGCATTAGACTTTTTTTAATAAAAGTTAATTGAGAGAGGTAGGTTAATTAGGAAAAAAAATGGATTAAATGTTTTTTGGATATATCAACAAAAGTATAATTGTTTTCTTAGACCAATGTGTGTCTTAGGGGTATTGCATAGACATGGATTGTAAGCGGTAAATTCTATTGAATTAGATCAGATTGAATTTAACCATTACAGTATATTAACATAAGTCTTTCAATATTGATTGGAAATATATAAATATCCATATAAATTTTTTTATATACACATTTCCAATACTGAATTACCTCTAATAAAATTAATCAATACATAAATAGTCCCAAATTTGAAGTATTCAAGATATACCTCTATGATATAGTGTGAATCTTTAAATTAAGATCATTATATTACATATATACAATCATTTACATATTACAATATTGTATTGTAAACTATAATCTTTGACTTAGGGTGAAGACTATTTGAATAATGAATAGTATAAACAGATGGTAATTTTCTGAAGGAGTTTTTTGGAAGCGAAATATTTTCTCATAGGAAATGATACAGTTCAAAGTCGCTATTTAATCCGTGAGGTAACATAGTGTTTAGATTGAAAATCCACCTCATTTCCATACGACCTATGTGTTGTAAAAAATCTTTGCCCCTCTAATTAGGATTTTTTTTTTTTGTACCCCCATAAATTGAATACTTACAGGATCTTTATTATGAATTTTAAGAAAATGCAAAGATAGACTGTTTTTTAAAACCATTGCGGATATTCCTAATGTGTTCTTGTACATGTAGAGGGCGTATGGTGCGTCCTACATATAGGAGACCGCAGGGACACTTAATAGTATATATCACTTTTTTTGAATAACATGTAATTAATTCATTAATTTAAAAAAAAAATTGTTTTGGATTTTTGGGAGTGTGGGAATGTTGTAATTTTTCTCTTTTTGTTCTGGGTGTTTTTGCAGGCCCCACAACCAAAGAAGCCTCTAGTAGCATTAAGGAAATGTTTTGATGTGATTATGTACCAAAGTTCTATTGAGATTTGGAACTCCTCTATAGACCACAACTGGTCTATCTGGGGTATGGGGGTTTAATGTATCATCATTTTTGAGGATGGGCCAGTATTTATTCAGAATTCATCTGACTTGTTTGTTCTTACAATTAAAGTCGAATATCAGTGTTGTTTTTTTTGTTTTTTTTCTTTATATGTTAATAAAGTTGACCTATCCTTCAATTTGACTTCAAGAGCTTTACTCAATAGTTCGTCCTTATATCCTTTCTCTCTAAAATTTTGTATAATGGTTGATGCTTGATTCTGGAATATATGATCATCTGAGCAATTGCGTTTAATCCTGAGTAGTTGTGCCTTCAGGGCATTAAGAAGCCAGGGTGAGAAGTGGCAGTTGTTTTCTTGTATGTAACTATTTACATCCGTTTTATTAAAAAAAAGTATTGGTTTTTCCTATAACTATGGAGGAGATTATGAAAGCAATAAATGATTTAGAAAGATCTAAAACACCAGGCCCGGATGGGTTTAGCAACCTATTTTATAAAACATTTAAAGATTTAATATGTCCACATTTGACCTCTGCTTTCAACATAGCGGCAAACAGAGGATTTTTACCAGCAGAGATGCTTAAAGCTAATATCTTGCCTATTTTAAAAAACGATAAAAACCCCCTGATATCAAAAACTATCGTCCGATATCTTTAATAGATGTAGACACTAAGTTATATGCTTCGGTTTTGGCGGCCAGAATAAAAAAACTTCTTCCACTAATCATTCATAAAGATCAAATAGGATATGTTCCAGGTAGAAATTCCTATACAAGTATAAGGAAAATTATTAATATCTTGGATGACGCAAATAGATATGATGTTCCAGTTCTGACTCTGTCGATTGATGCTGAAAAAGCATTCGACAGAGTCAGCTGGAAATATTTAGAAGCCGTTCTACTACATTATGGATTGGAAGGTTGGATTAAGAAAGCTATAATGGCACTATACGTAAATCCTGTTGCACGAACTATTGGACCTAATATTGTCGCCCCATGGTTCCAACTTAGAAATGGTACCCGACAGGGTTGTCCCCTCTCACCATTGCTCTACTTGCTGACTATCGAGCCATTGGCTGAGAATATTAGGAATAATAAAGAGATCCACGGTTATAAAATAATGGATGAGGACCAAAAAATTAGTTTATATGCTGATGACATTTTAATTACTCTCATGAACCCTAAAAATTCTTTAGAACACATAACGCAAGAAATAGAGCGATACAGCCTTATATCAAATTATATGTTAAATACAAATAAATCTTTGATATTAGACGTTAACCTAAATAAAAAGATACAACAAGAGATTAAAAACAAATATGATTTTATTTTGGTTAAAGAGAGTATGGATTACTTAGGAATTAAAATAACCAGAGAGACAAATAAGATTATGGAAGTAAATTTCCTAACATTATTAGAAGATCTTAATAAATGGTTAAAAGATCGTAGAAACTTAGAGATTACCTTTTGGGGACGAATAAATGTTATCAATTCATACGTCGTACCAAAGTGGAATTATATGTTTCAAATGTTACCTCTCCATATCCCAATCCATTGGCTTCAATTAATACAAAGAAGTTTTACTCAATACATTTGGAAAGGCAAGAAGCCGAGATTGAAACAGTCAATATTAGTGCAGAAAATACATAAAGGTGGACTTGATTATCCATTTATAATGAATAATTTTAAAGCAGCTACTATTCTACATGTTTATAGAATGCAAATGAAAGAAAATAAAGATGAGGGATGGTATAAAATGGAATTGAAGGCAGGAGAAGTTTCTAGCTTAGACTGTTTAATTTGGAATATAAATAAAATGTCAAAGAAAAAAGAGTATGCCAGTATTATTTTAACTCAATTACTGGAAAATTGGCTAAAAATTAAAAAAGCAATGAATATAGAAAAAAAAGTTCCAAGTTATTTAGAGTTAGACATTGTAGAAAAACAAGTGGAAGATTTAAACTTAAATAATTGGAAAAAAGTAGGGATAACGACTTTGGACCAATTACTGACAGAAGGATCAATCAAAACCTTTGCTCAAATAACAGGGATATATAATCTTCCTCCTAGAGAGGTGTTTAATTTTTTAAGACTTAAAAGCTATATTAATACACACCTTATAATACCAAAATCTGACCTGAGCAATTCGATAGATTTATTTTTTACATCAAAAAAAATCAATAAACCACTTTCCAAAGCTCTAATATTAATTAAATCAATAGCTAAAGATATAAATCCTACTGCCATACAGGTTTGGAAACAAGATTTGAATATCGATATTAATTTGAATCAATGGGGTTCTTCAATGATGGATGTTAAGAAAAATATACATTCATTAAATTTATTAGAAACGCACTTTAAAGTTTTAAATAGGTAGTACTTAGTACCAGCTAAATTGAATAAAATTTACTCTCTAGTTAATCCTATCTGTTGGAGATGTAACAGTATTAGAGGCAATTTTAGACATATTTGGTGGGATTGTTATAAATTAAAAAATCTCTGGTTGAAAATACAGCATTTTATATCTAACAATTTAAAACTCGAGTTGACAATTTCTCCAGAGGTAGTTCTACTTCACCTGAATTGGCCTCATATGACATATGAATTAAAAGCAATTCTTATACATCTGTTTTTAGCGGCTAAAATAGTAATTGCGAGATGGTGGAAAAGGGATTTAGAAGTCCCCTGGAAGAAAGTTAAAATTCAACTCGAGTTTCAGATTAGAATGGAGCTGATGCTAAGTAAACAAAGATTAAGCAATAAGATTTCTGTTTGGTCAAAGTGTCTTGAGATGATTGATGTAGAAAATAATGCCGATCAATTAGAAGTAGAATAATTCCATGAACATTGTAAATAATTATGAGACTTATCTAAAGGATACTACCACTCTACTACGGAAGTCTTTTTGATGTATTTTTCTCTTCCCTCCCCTATTTTGCTGCTATGTTGTTTTTGTATTATAAATGTATATTTGTATGATATTTGTATGATATATGTATTTAATGAGGTTCAAAAGAAAAAAATATAAAATAAAGATTAAATATTCAAAAAAAAAAAAAAAAGTATTGGTTTTCAATATTCCATCTTCTACATATATATTCAGGTCAAGAAAATTGCTGAAATTGGTGGTCAATTTAATACCCCAATCACTGGACTCAAGATGGGTCAAGAAAGTCAAGTGATTTCTCATCACCCCTCCAGATGAAGAACAGGTCATCAATGTACCTGCGGTTGGTCACAAGGTTCGCCCCCCCATCTGTCATCTATATAGATGAATTGCTGTTCCCAATGGGACATAAAGAGATTGGCATAACTAGGGGCAAACCTCGTGCCCATCGCACTACCGCATATTTGAGGATAAAAATGATCACCAAACCAAAAATAGTTGTTTCGAAGTATCCAGTCTATTCCTTCAATAACGAAGTTTATTTGTTCTGGATGAAATTTATTTGATTGATCTAAAAATATCTTAGTCGCTAAGCAGCCTCTTTCGTGTGAAATTATGGTATAAAGAGAGGTAACGTCTGATGTTACCAGGTAGAAGTAATCTTCCCATTTAATGTTTGTAAGAACTTGCAAAATACTGATAGTATCTTTTAAATAGCTGGGGCATTGTTGTACAATGGCTTGTAGGTTCCTATCTATATATTGAGATAGGTGACTTGATATTGATTCGATCCCAGATATTATGGGCCTCCCTGGTGGATTTTGTATGTCCTTGTGTACTTTCGCGAGGTAATAAAACACAGGTATTTTGGGGTGTGTTATATTGAGGAAATCTTATTCCTTTGTATTCAATATATTTTTTTACATTCCCTTTTTCGATTAGTGTGATATAACTCATTTTTATGTCACTTGTGGGGTCTTTGTTAAGTATTGTATATGTACTGGTGTCACTTAATAATCTATTAGCTTCTTTGACATAATTTGAATATTCTAGGAGGACTGTTCCCTCACCCCCCTCCCCCCCACTTGTCAGCAGGTTTGATGACAAGTGTATTGTCGCTTTTAAATTGTTTAAGAGCTGTTCTTTCCTTTAAATTTAATTTTGTTAATGTCTTGCATCACCATGCGTTCAAAGGTAACCATTTCCTCTGAAATGCAGCATTTGGGGAAGAATTTGGATTTATATCTCAAATCCGTATGGATGAAACCTGATTGTATTACCGAATTGGATTGTTCAGGATGTTTAGCGAAAAACTTTTTAAGGCATCGCTTTCTTTTGAATCGATTTAGATCGATAAATATATTAAATTTATCAATACCTTTTGTTAATGAGTGTTGTGATGGTGTTAGGGTTCTATGTGTCAAATTGAATATTCCATGCCCTTAATTGGTGTTAATGTCTGTTTTTTCTTTTCTCTTCTGTATATGAGTTCCTCCTCTATTTCCCCGTCTTCTGGACTCTTTTGTCTCTTGCCTGGAGATTTTGGGGGCGATGGGTTTACTTTGCATCTGTCCCTCTTGTGAGGTGTTTGAAAATCCTCACCTCTTGGTGATCTTTCTTAATAGTTTGATTTGTTTATTGGGGAACGTGTCAGGGATTCAGTCCTCCAGGTATGTTTCTATTAGGACCCGTGATTGTATCTCTTTATTGTCTTTCTCTGTATGTGTGTCTATTTTCTCTTATTGGGGATTTGTTACATTTCACCACTTGAGCATAGGAGAGATGATCTCTAAATGGTCTGTGTGGTGAAAATCTCCTATCTCTTTGATCCCGTGGTCTGTATTCCCTAGTATTCCCTAGTCCTTTTTGGTAGAGAGAAGTGTGTTGACTTTTGGGATATCCACCCTTTGGTGTCTATTAGGGGTTTTATAGTTGTTTCTAACCCTATAGTCATTTTTTTTTTTGTATGGGTTGTTGATATACAGGGTTCTTGTTGTATGTCCTCACTTGTTTTTTGGAATAGTCAATGGTGTCTCTTTGGTATTTTCTTTTTTTTTACTTCAATTGCTTTATTCTCTAGTCTTTTGAGACTATTTTGTATTTCTCTAGTTGTTGCATCATATTCTTCCAGTGAGGTGTTTGAAATGAGAGTATTTTGAAATTGATTAATTTCTATGTCTAATTGCGTTAAGGTATATTTTCGTCTCTTTATAATGAATTGCATTAAAGTGAATGAGAAACCTTCTCATTGTTCCATCCATTCATTAATGAATTCATCTTCCTCTTGATCAAAGGATGGCTTTTAGAGAATCGTAACCCCCCTAGGAGTTATTCTTTCTTTAGTGTACTTTTCTAATGTGGCTATCTCCCACTTAATTTTTATTTCCCTACTTAATACTTTTCTAGGGAAAATTTGTAGTCATGAAGTCGAAATTTACAATATATAATATAGATACAAAAACACCTGTGTGCAGGTAGATAACACACTTAGTGGGTAATAAATATAAAAATACAAAAATTACCCTTAGTCAAAAGTGAAGTAGATGAAAGGACTCCTCTTATGTCCTTAAAACAATATTGAAATACTACCAGAAGGCAATCTACAACACAAAATAATAGAAATGGACATAGAATAGTAACGTAGTGTATTGGGAATTTGTAGAAATAAATGATTACACTCACAGACCCAATTTGATTGCAGGCATATCATAAATAACGATGTATGAACTTCTCGATTTGTGGAACGTCAATCCCATGTATAAGAGGAAGAATAGAAAATAATAATAGTGCAGAGTATCTTAAATAAAATTAACAAAATTTATTACAAGATACACTTACAAGAAAGGTGTATCAAAAAGGCACATCAAACTCAGCTGAAGCTGCAAACCAGTCCCAGGATCAGAAGAGCAGAAAAACCAAATAAGATAAAATACATTTAAACATCTATAAAAACAAATACTCCGCATATAAGAAACAAGCCCTACGCGTTTCGTTCATAAAATGAACTTCATCAGGGGCATCCAGTCCTCTGTAAACAAAAATACATAAAACACTCGTCTTTTATAACTACAATCAAATTTGCCGCGAAGAAAATCAGCTGTGCGTGTTACTTCCGGGTTTCGGCTTCGGTGTATTTCCGGATACGCCCCTATTGCGTTCCGGGACTTCTGTCCAAGCCTCACTTTGAAGTTCATCTAGTTGAACGGAAGTCAAGACGAATGTGCGTTCCATTTTGCGTTCCATTCTCGGGGTTAGACACATACATCCCCAGAGCACATCGTTATATAAAGAAAACGAAATAAACATATGTGTGATCATATATACAAATATATAGAGAAGGGAGGAGTATCACCTAATTTAGAAAAAGGGGAATAATACAAACTCATAATAAAAAATAAAAATAAATGACAAAAATAATCAAATAAAGATGAAGATAAAAATAAAAATAAATAAATTATATTAAAAAAAAATAATAAAAAATAAATAAAATATAAAATAAAAATAAAATAAATGGTAAAATAAATTAATTGAAATAAACAAAAATAAAAAATAAAAATAAAATAGAAATAAATAAAATAGATAAATAAAATAAAAATAAATAAAAATAAAAATAAAATAAAAGAAAAAAATTAAGAACAAAGTTAAAATTAACAATGTAAAAATATAACATAGAAAAAGATAAATGAATAAATAGATAAAAAAGAAGAAAAAAATACAGAAAAAATAAAACAATGTAAAAGAAAATCATAAAAAACAAACCAAATCAAAATCAACATTTAGACCCCTCGGTTTCATAGTTTGCAATGTATGAATCCAATAGCCCTCTCTTTTTCTTAGGGCCATCATCAGATCTCCTCCTCTCTCATTTAAAATTACCTGCTCTATAGCTACACATTTAAATGTGTCAAAATGAAATAGTAAGCACTTGTTACAATGTACGGGTACTGAGTGCGATAATAAACCTTTTTTAATATTATTTCTGTGTTCTTGAAACCTAACTTTGACTTTCCTCCCAGTTCTTCCAACATACTGCATCCCACAACCGCAGGTGAGGAGATATACCACGTAAGAGGAAGAACAAGATATTTTATTTTTAATTTTAAATTTAACTTGAGTTTGTGTGCTTGTAAACTCCTTTACAACACTAGATCGATGACTACAGCTTTTACAATTCCCACATGTATAGAGACCAGCAAATGGATTAGAAAAATCAAAGCATATTGAACGCTGGGATATGGCACTTGAAAAATGCTCTGACACTTATGGAGATTATAATCGATTTTGAAAGGGAAAATTTAAATGTTGTTTCTAACGAAATGGATAATCTATCTGAAATGAATACTTTTGATAAAGACATCCCTGATTTCAAAAAGAAAGAAAAAGTTCTTTTCGATAGGATAGAGAAACTTGATGATAATATTGCACAGACTAAAAATAAGAAATATCTAACAGACTAAAAATAAGAAATATCTAAGGGATAAGAGAGATAAAAATAATAATACCCATTCAACCCTTAACAAAATCGATAAGAAGCTAAGATATAGAGAAAATGGTAGATTCAATTTTAGAAATCAAAATAGAGAAGGACCTTTACAAAGAAAGGGTGTACCTTTAGGTGATAAACCTAAGTGGACTACACCCTCAAGAAATTCAATTAAATATAAAAATATTAACGGGAATTCTATTCATCCTTCATCACGTCCATTAAGAGATACAGTTCCCAATAAAGATACTGTCAATCAATCCTCCACTTCTAACTCTAATCTAAGTAGGGATTTTTTAGAGAAGGGGCAAGACCGAAGAAAGGGAGCAATTACGGAATTTTTTCCACCCAGATCTCAGGAATTGCCCCTGACCAATCGCTTTGCCCCTCTCAGGGAACGCTATACCCCAGGGAAGAGGCGGAGATTGAGTGGAGAGATAACTCAAACGAATTACAAATAGAAAGTTTGGGAATTTTTAATATCTCTGGATTTCTCTTTCTCTTTTGCAGTGCTTAGATCACTCCACTTTGCATATGTGCTGTACTGTTTTATGATTGGTTACTTTGGTTCTATGTAAATTTTCTTTGTTGCTGTACAGTTTAATAAAGCCTCCTGTCATGTTGTATAATTAGATGTGTCTCCATGACAATATGTCCCTTATCGGCTAAACAGGTAGACAGAAAGTGCTTCATAATTAAGAGTATGCCTAATTCCACAGGCAATATATTAATGTGCTCTATAAAACATGCGGATATATGTAAGACTATGTAGGCTGATTATTATATAGCAACCCCATGTTAAAATGTAAAAAAAAAAAAAAAACTGCAAACATTTTAGTATTTCAAGAATACACACAGCCAGATATACACATACATACACAAATGAATCAGTTACAACATGAATATCCGTAGTCACCCTCCAGTTCACATACCTTTTTGGCACAGGAGGAGAAGGGAAGAGAGGAGTGGGCTGCCGGGGCAGTGGCTTCAGTTTTTCTGACCTCCATTTGCTTTCCACTCTCAGTTCACTGGGAGGAACTGAGCCACAACGCAGGAATATTGCAAAGGTGAAAGGGGACCGTTCCAATGAACAGACAAAGTGCTTTACTGGTCAACCGAGCCCCTCAGAGTTTCTGCCTATTGGAGACCCTAAAGTCTGATTGCCTTGGCTTCATGATGGACCCAAACTGCACCAAAATTTTCCCAAGACGTTGTGCTGCCTGGGTCCAAAGATGAAATGCTGCCCCCTCATCAAAACCACACCTACCAAAACATACCCATCCATTATGCTATAAAATGATCATTGAAACTTATCAGGAAGTATTAAAATAAAAATATAGGGGTTGCATTGTGTGTGTATTTTATATTGAAGGGTGGCCTTACAGCACTGGATGCAAAGAGCTAGTTTCTTTTTTCATCATTCAGAAGCTTGCAGTGTCGTAGCTTACTAAATAATAACGTTACAGATAACTGTTTTGTTTAGCATTATTAGTGCTGGTTGCACACATCGGTATGTGGGTGGCCATGGTCAGGTCAAGCCCATGCCAGGGCATGTTTAGGCGGCAGCCTGTTTATCAAGTTGCTTGCACTGCCGGTGCGTCATGCTTTGTGGGTGCCCCAAGCTGGCCTTCCTTGTTTATATTGCGATTGCCTTACTAGACCTGGAGGTTAGCCCTCTGTCATACCTCTTCACTGCCCTGTAGTTTGAGGTGAGCCATCTTTCCCCACAGACCTGCAGTGCTCTTATTTTGTATTTATTTTTGCCTATCAGCAAGCCTTGGGTGTTGCCCATGTGTGCGGTTGTATACTTTAATGGGGTATTTTATTTACCCTGCTGCCAGAGTGGTTGAGCTCCATTGTTTTGCTTCACTGGTACCCTCAACCTTTGTTGTTGGCTTTACAGGTGTCTCTTTGACCATGGCAGACTCTCAGCCATAGGCCATGATAAATGCAGAGGTGGCAGCTACAGTGGAGAAGGTGATCTCCAGAGTGCTCTTTCAGTTATCCCTGCAAAAGCATTCTCCATTCTTCGTGTTCACTCCCATGACTTTGAGTACTCTGGGGATTCTGATGCCTCTGGGAAAAGTGGTCCTTGTACAGCTAGACGCCATTAGAAGGGTGAGTGGAAGCATCTTAGGAAGGTGAATGGCATAGAGCCTGTTAAGGGTCATAAATGCTCTATTGTGTCAGAGCCAAAACTTCCTCCATCATGTCCATATTCAGAGGAAGATAACCAAGATTTTCCTTGCTCCCTCTCCACGTTGGATGAATGGCAAGCAGGACATTCTTCTTCAGATGAGGAACCATGGGATGTGGCCCAGGCCCAAAAGTCATCTTGTGTTCAAGAGACTCTAGTGGATGAGACCAATTTAGCAGATGGTGGTGATGCAGAGATTATCCAGAAGGCCATTGGCAATAACATTTTTGACTCATGGTGCATTAGGTATTCTCACTCTGTGGATTTGACCCCGCCAGACCACCTAACCAAATTATGCATTTGTGTCTCCGGTAACCCTTCGAGAAAGAGGTTCACAATCAACCATGATCCGTGTGCCCATGTTTGGTTTTACCTGATAAGGTTGCCATGACTCCAGAGTTTGACCAAATGATGTTGACCTTCATGCCTCGGAGTGGTCAAGACCTGTGTAAGGGTCTGGAGAGGAGCCTAAAATAGGTCCAGGATAAGTTTCTAGACACTGTGGTGCCCCTGGCATATATTCTCTATCTGGCAGATGATGTCCAAGGTGGATGATGCTTTTGATACTCATTCTGTGTGGCAGTAGGCTCAAGACAATTGACTCAGTGCTTCTTTTTTTTTCTTGCAAACACCAATGTGGCACCCTCGTGCAAGAGTAGGAAGGCCGTATTACTCCACTTCGATAACAAATTGTCTGACTTGGGCTCCAAGGAGGCGAGACCCCAAGTACGGGGCATGCTCTTCAGAGAGGCCTTCGTGAAAGAGCTACACAAGCACATCAATGTATTTACCTCTCTTAGTAAAGCATAAGTGTCCCTCAAGAAGGTGTTTACTGAATAGTGATGGCTATTATAATATTAATATAGGACGTAATGTCTACACAACAGCCCCCCTTACTATTCTAACAGTAAGGGGGTGCGAGATCTAATGTCCCCACCACAGCTATTTAACAACATCACATCTCTGACAAGCCAACCAATAAGGGCAGGATTTTCACACTTTGAAGCGTCATTTTGTACTGAGACATGGTGAGACGAAATAAGATTTACTTTTTTTGTATCCCATTTTCATTTTTCTGTAGGATTCTTATCCGATTAGTTGTTTTCTTTCAAGAGTTTTATCTCCTATTGTTTCTATTTTTTTTTTTTTTTTTAAATAGACTTCAGATGGTAAATATTTTTACAGCTGTTAGTTTTAATGTCCTCTCACTATTATTTGGGTGAGGGAATATGTATGGTAAATTTGTCTCGAGGGGGTGACTAGGAAATTTGAGTTCCCTAGCCACATAGTAGGGGGGACAATGGCAAGTATCTTTTTTGTGCATTTTATAACTGCATCACCTTCTCATCATTATATAGTAGTAAAGGTTCTGATAGAACTGAGCAAAACGCTCTGGTATCCCTTGGATGATGCTGTCATCTCAATTTATTTGCCAGCATGATGTACGGTTTAATCGCCTTTTCAAAGTATAATCTTTCCAAACCACATATTTCCCCCCATAGTCTTTTCTTCTGACAGTTTCATAATGTATTCTTTCCCTCACAATATCTGTCAGAATTTTTTTTTTTATATATATATTTACATAGTGTAAAAAGAGGCACGTGTCCATCAAGTTCAGCCTTTCTCACATTTTTTTGCAGATGATCCAAAAGAAGGCAAAAAAAAAGTTTGAGCGCTTCCAATTTTGCAATAAACTTGGAGCAGAATCATTCTACCTCAAAATAGCAATCAGATTTATCCTTGGATCAAGCAGCTATTACCCCACAACTTATAGTTATATCACTGAATATGCCTCCAGTTGCTGATTAAACATCTGTACAAAATCTGCAGAGAATTCCACATCATTATTGTTCATACTGTCAAAAAAATCCTTTCCTTTGTCTTAGACTACATCTCCTTTCTTCCAGTCTAAACAAGTGACCTTGTGTTTTATATATATATGTCTTGTTTATAAATATATTTCCAGACAATGGTTTGTATTGGCCCAGAATATATTTGTATAATGCTATCATATTCCTGTCTGAGGCGCCATTTTTCTAAACTTAATAAGTTTACATGTGTTATCCTTTCTTCATAGCTAAAATGTTCCATTCCTTTTATTAATTTTGTAGCCCACCTCTGCAATTTTTCTAGTGCCATAACATCCTCTTTTTAGAACAGGTGCCCAAAATTGCACAGCATATTCAAGATGTGGTCTTATATTGGCTCTCAGGTCCAGGATACTCCCACACAAAACAAGATAATCCCTCCCCTGTGCAATAAATTGAGTCAGGCACTGTGCTAAACTCAAATATCTCCAGGCACAGAAAACATACATTTTAATAACACCCCAGAAATACCCCCAAAACACATGGAAAACCCACAACAGTCACGTCCTCTGATGGTCCCCGAGATCGGGGCTAACATATCCAAAAATCACCCAGATCGGTTCAGGATTTCCATGGAAGTCATAATTTGACCGACCGCACACAGTCTTATGCCCAAAACACTTCCACAGTTTCAGAGGTAGAGGTCGGTCTACTTCGAGGAGTTCTAAAACGGAACAAATCCACAAACTGTTCCCCTAGTTCATGGGAACAAACCTACCGAATACTGCTCTACTGGCTAGTCGGTGAAAAGAAGCAGGCGTTTGTGAAGTTAACCGGCGTTCGGGAAGTCGAGTATCCGATTTTAGTTCCAGACACTGGACGACCAAGTCCCGCTGCCTCTTTTCATGCGACAAGATGGCTGCCATCTTCTCCAGCATGTGGTGTTCGGCTATACGAACGGCAGCCACACAGAGCACTTAATATGCAGTTCTCTTTGTAGTTAATGAGCCGGGGGTGGTCGGTGTTCAGTAGTTTTATTTACTGAACGAAAAAAGTTAACGAACAAAAGTGTAAGTTCTTCACAATAACGTTTACACAACTAGTTGATAAGTATTGCTTACCTCAAACGCTCCAATACGCATATCTCCAAGTATCACACTTCCTTGTTTCTACAATGTGATATTGTGATTACGGACATTTCTCTGGCTACACAATATTGAAATAGAGATAATGTGAAAGGCAAGTTTTTTTTTGTTTGTTTTTTTTTATGTCTTTTATCACTCCACTGCTAATATTCATATGTGACTGTGATACGCAAATTTGTACTGTATAATGTGGCACAATCGTCAGAAGTGTGTAATTGATTGACATGTATCCTTTATTATAAAGCCAATAAAGATTGTCAAATGTAAAAATAAAAGAGAAACTCCATGGCCAGGTAACTGAAGAATGTATACATTTGTTTGATATCCAGATATGTAGAATGTGCAGGCACCGTTTCACAATCTGTCACTGGGTTGCTATGAGGAGGCTCACATCCATGGAAACAAGCATGTTACGATTGTGTTAAAGTATTTTTTTGTGTAATATTATCATAACTTTTTCATGTATTTGCTACATAGAAAGGATCTGTCACTTTTATGTTTCATTCAGTCTAATTTGAATTTCAAAATTTAGCTATTTTGAAATCACAGCATTTTACACTTGTGAATAACAATGCAAGATTGGTGATTGAATTGTCATGTAAATCTAATTTATTTAATTTTTGTTTAGCAATCTTGTCTCTCTCATGACTGATGTTATGAGAGATTATATATTGGAAATTTCACAAGCCTCTTTTAAGAGTCCCCACCTTAAATAGGGATTTAAAAGGACAGATATATCTTTTGTAGGCTGTTTTCAGACAGTTATTCTGTGTCCACTGCTTCTAGAAGGTCTAACAAATTGCTTTGTAGTTCAGGTCACCTAGTGCTGTCAATGGCTGAGCTGCGTGCATATATTTGATAAGGAAGTCTTTTTCTGATATGGGGCATGGCTAAGGAGGAAGGCTTATAATGCAACATTCTGCCACACAATTATTTTGTTGTTAAAAATTATAAAGATTTGAGCATGCAAAAAATATAGTATATTCATTAAACCAAAACCTATCAACTGTATTAAAGTTTTTTTGGTGACTTTAAGTCACTCTGAAAGAGGTTTCGTTTTTTTTGTTTTATCCTATATATGCATGATGGAGTAACTGGCGAGGGAAAGTTAGTATTTTATGATGGAAGTTTTACTCTTAAGAAATGGAAAATATGATCATTTATGTCCCCACACACACACAGACAAAAAAAAAAAAATATTGTCAGGGTTATTTACTACAGTGAGAATTCAAAGTAAATTCAAAATTAATTTAAAATGTAAGGTCAAAATAGCTAAACTGGAAACATTCTCAAATTCTTCTAGTATGGCTACTCTATCCTTAAGTTTAAAATTCACCTTGAATTCGTCTTTACACTATAGTAACCAGAACAACTACAGCTTAATGTATTCTGGTGAGTATAATAGCTCCCTTCAGACATTTTCATGTAAACACTGCCTGTTCAGAGAAAAGACAGTGTTTACATTGCCCCTAGGAACACCTCCAAGTGACCACTCCTCAGATGGCCACTGGAGGGGCTTCCTGGCTCAGGGCTTCACAGTAAGCAGCCCTGCCATTCAGCATCCCCACGATCTGCATGGGGACACTGAATTTTCCGCATAGAGATGCATTGATTCAATGCCTCTCTATGTGGAGGTGCTGAGTGGCCACAACTGTGTTTGGCCCCGCCCCTTGCCGTTTTTAGCCAATCCAATGCTTCCCCATGGAAAAGCATGGGATTGGCTAAATATCTGCTATTTTTTAAGATGTCACCAAGAGGGCGGTGCCAGCGCCAGCAGACCCGCGGAGAGCTGAAAATAAGGTTTTAACCCATTCTGAGAGGGGGGAGGCAAGCCACCTAAATGATGGGTTTTCACTATAGGGTCAGGCATACATGTTTGTGTTCCTGACCCTATAGTGATCCTTTAATTCTCACTTTAGTAAGTAATCATGTTAGTGCCGGACATCGTGCATTATAAAATTGTTTTGGAATTATGAACAGTTACTTACAGCTCATGTAAATAACCCATGGTTCTATGTTGGCATTGAAAATAATAACATAATAATAAAACATACTAAATAAGTAAAGTCAAGTTTATGTCTTTACTGCTTGATTAAGAAAAATCAAACATGAAAAATAACTACATGACATTTACAATTATCATGACTGACAAAAAAGCCTGACCATGTTTTATTAGTGCATGAGGAGATTTACTGTTGCAATAATCAATAATGCCTTTCCTTTTTTTTTTTTTTCAGAATTTGTAACATGTCCAAATCTGATACAAAAGCCTTTAAGAAAATATTGTTTTTTTCAGTGATTTTTATTCTAGCGCTAAGCTTCAGCTTTCGTCTGAGCTTATTCCAGGTATGTGCTTCATTGATTAAAATACTATCATATGCTAAAATTGTTTGTTTAATAATTTAATTCTAATCATAACTATTTCATTGTTGCCTTCTCACCAGCCTTTGAAATCTTCAATTCATCAAGTAACATATTCAGATCACAATGTTTCACACATGGACGTTAATGAATCGAGTACAATTTATAATTCTGATGACACTGACCGAGAGATATATCAGATTTATAATGCCATAAATCACACCATTCCTAATGTATCTTTCACTTGGTTAAATAAGACCACCAGTGCTAAAAACAGCAAAGCAATCATATTAAATTACAGGAAAAAGTATTGTATTGGAGATTATTTAACTGTCCGAGTTGACATGTTTGATTTCTTGGGAAATAAGAAGACTTATGGGGGAGATTTCTTAAGAGCTCGAATTTATTCCCAAAGTCTTGGCGCTGGAGCTTCTGGAAGGATTGAAGACTTTAACAACGGATCCTACCTTATTAATTTCACACTTTCGTGGGAAGGCAATGTGGAAATATCCATTATTCTACTACATCCAAGTGAGGGTGTGTCTGTTTTATGGAGAACCCGAAATATGGGATATCAAAACATTATTTATATTGGAAAATTTCTCAACAAAACACAAGAGATTCACAAGGAATGTGGATTTTCTTTAGAGACACAAGAAGAACAATGTGAATATGCAGATAAAATACATGGTGAATTTTTCTACTGCCTGAAACCTCAAAATGTACCATGTGAAGCTCTAATCTCACTCAAGTGTCAGATCAGAAATCATTCATATCTTACTAAATTAGAGGAAAGCATGTTTACTAGGTAAATATACATTCTGCTTACTGTATTTTAACAAACTAGTGTGCTGTTTGATTCACAGTTAACTATTTTTTTTTTTTCTACAAAAATACATAGTCATACATAATATCTTGCATAAGTATTGTTGCCATTTTCTGTACAGGACATTCCGAATGTTTTAAATGTGTTTTTGTTTTTGTTTTTGTTTTTTTAAATTAATAACAAAACAGTTGAAAACCCCCAAAAAAGCTCTGGCACATATAATTATGATATTTTGATTAGACGCAATACCTCTTTTTATACATAAAAAAGCACCTTACTATCTTTTGCAATGGCAGACTGACATTAAATACTATTGCCTAGTTTGTTATCTATAATAGTTCCCAATTCCTTTTCATTAGGCATGTGCATGGGCAAAACAATTGGTTTGGTAGAGCACTTTGGCAATTCCCTAACTCTACAAGGATTAGGGTTAGATTCCTGTCATCATTGCCTTATTTTTTCCTCCCTCTCCTGTTTTTGCCACTTTTCAGAAATCCAAAGCACTTCGGCACTTCCGAAATTTGGACATTCAGAAGCGTCCAAATTGCTGAAATACATTCAAATATAAATTCGGACCAAAACTAATTGCACATGTTTACTTTTCATTGAATTTTATCCCTAACTCAACAACCACATTTAATCTATAAATATCGTGTGGGTTATTTTATTTATTTCAAAATGGACGACTTTGGACTTTGCATTTATCTGTATTATTATTGCCATTTATATAGCGCCAACAGAGCGCTTTACAATATAATGAGAGGGGAGATTTAATTATAAATAGAACAATTACAAGAAAACTTACAGGAACGATAGGTTGAAGAGGACCCTGCTCAATCGAGCTTACATTCTATAGGAGGTAGGGTATAAAATGCATTAGGACAGGAAATAGCAATCAAATAAGGGGGCAGTGAAGCAGAGCGTAAAGTGCTGCCCTTTAGGAGAGAGCAAGAGACAGGTATGTGAGGAAGAGGTTACTCTTGGAGGCCATAAGCTTTTTTTAAAGAGATGGGTTTTAAGGCCCTTTTTAAATGATTGAAGACTAGGGGAGAGTGATGGCAGTAGGCAGGCTATTCCATAGGAAGGGAGCCGCCTGCGAGAAGTCCTACAAGTGTGAGTTGGCCATACGTGTGTGAGCAGCGGACAGGAGGTGGTCACGGGCAGAGTGGAGAAAACGAGAAGGGGCATACCTATGGATCTGTGAGGAGATATGAGGGGCTAGAATTGTTCAGTACTTTATAGGTATGGGTTAGCACTTTGAATAGACTCCTATAGGATACAGGAAGCCGATGTAAAGACTGACAGAGGGGTGAGGGGTGAGACGACCGACTAGAGAGGAAAATCAGTCTGGTGGCAGAATTCATTATAGACTGTTGCAGGGCAATACGGCTTTTGGGAATACCAAATAGGAAAAGGTTACAATAATCCATGTGGGAAGCTCCTTGGTAGCATTTTGCTTGAAAAAAGGGCGGATGCGGGCTATGTTTTTAAGATGGAATCTAGAGGATTTGGCAACATACTGGATGTGAGGCTCACAGGTGAGGCCAGAATAAAGTATGACGTAAGGACAGCGCGCTTGCAAGGATGGACTTATGTGCATACCACTAACTTGAAGAGAGAGCAAAAGAGGAGGATAAGTATTAGGAGGAGGAAAAACAATGAGCTCAGTTTTAGAGAGATTGAGTTTCAGAAAGCGGTCCGTTGTTGAATATTTATTTCCCCTTGTATTTCACTTTTCAGCCACATGGGGGTGCACCAGCGCACGGAGCACCGTACCACCCCGATATTCCATTTAGAATGCGTGGTTAGAATGTTCACACCTCGCTAATGAGGTGTGAAGACTGCAGGGTAACACGCAGCGCGTGCTACCCCTGGGGCACCGCCGGTTCATTAAGCCGAACGCCACCAGGGGGCAGCATTCGTATACCAAACAAGCCTGCACACCCTGTCTTCGGTCCCCTGGTCGGGGAACATCCTACCTGCTTCTAAGGGAGCTGTAATCACTTGTTCCCTACCTGGGAGCTACGAGGAGCGCCCATTCAAGCTGGGTTTGCGCCATTCTCCTGGTTGGTTGACACGAGTAAAGCGCTGATTTGTCGCCGCAGGGAGCTGGCGACCAATCAGAAAAGGAGCGCTTGGTCAAACAGGGTTTTGCGCCCTTCTTTCTGGTTGGGCAGTGAAACCCCCCCTCCTTTGTTCCTGGGCACTGATTGGTGCGAATTGGTTTCGAGCCTTTCATCGGATTGGTGCAATCGGGTTTTGCGCCCTTTCCCCTGATTGGGTGGCGAAACTCCTTCCTCCCCTTAATGCTAATTGGTGCGATTCCTGCCTGGGAATAAGGGAAGTGTTTTATGTGGAATGTAGCCCTCCTTGAGGGGGTCTGTGCCTAAAAGAAGCCTGTATTAAATAAATAGTGTGACTAAACCTCCAACTGTGTGTCGTCCTGTTATTGGAGGAAAGGAAGATTTAACCCCTGTGTCTGCTGTTCCAGCTTACAGGGAATTCAGAAGATTTAACCCCTGTCTGCTGTTCCAGCTTGCAGGGGATGAAAATAGGGTAAAAGTCCTGGTAAGGACTAAAAGCTTCCACGGCTGAGTGTCATCTCAGCCTGGGAGCAAGATACTAGGAAGTCGTCCCACTACAGAGATATATATCTGGGTGTCATCAGCATACAGGTGGTAGTGGAATCCAAATGAGGTAATATGTTTGCCAAGAGAGGCAGTATAAAGATAAAATATAAGGGAAACAAGGACAGAGCCTTGGGGGACTCCAACTGAGACAGGACGAGGGAAGGAGGTATCATTAGAAAAACCACGAGAGGACAGAGTCACAGAGACCGACTCATTGAAGAGGGAGAGCATGATCAATGGTGTCAAAGGCAGCAGAGAGGTCAAGAAGAATTAGTATGGAGTAGTGGCCTTTGGATTTAGCTGGGATCAGGTCATTAGTTACTTTGATAAGTGCAGTCTCAGTAGAGTGGAGAGGGCGGAAGCCAGATTGAACAGGGTCAAGGAGAGAGTTGGAATTGAGGAAATAAGACATACGGGTAAAGACAAGTCTTTCCAGAAGCTTTGAGGAGAAAGGAATCCGGGATATGGGATGATAGAGGGGAGGACGGGACAACGCCAGATGAGAGAAAGCAGTTGAAGATGTGTGTTAAGGAAGGCACAAGACAGGGGGAGAGAGATCTAATACGGTGAGATGGGACAGGATCGAGCAGGCAAGTGGTGGGGCGAGAGTGCAGCCACCTCTTGTTCAGTAGCAGGGATGAAAGTCTGAAGGCTAGGGAAGGCATGATCTATATGTGGTTGAGAAAGAGAACAGCAAGGTGGGGAGAATTATTTTCTTAGCTGTTCAATCTTGTTGGTAAAGTAGCATGCAAAGCTATCGGCTGTAAGTTTAGTTTGGGGGGTGGTCACAGCAGAGCGAAGGAGAGAGTTAAAGGTGTCAAAGACACCTGGGTTTGGGGTAGCATGAACTAATGAGAGTGGAAAAGTATGACTATTTGGCAAGGGCAAGGGCTGCGCTGTATAAACACAATATAAATCTATAATGGAGATCAACTGCCTGGGTGTGAGACTTCCTCCAGGAGCGTTCAGCACAACCGGCGCTTCTTTGGAGGTAGCGTGTTTATTTAGTATGCCATGATTGGGTGCGTGTCCTCCTTGAGGTGCATGTTTGGAGCAAGGCTGCAGCATTCAAGGCAGGGGTGAGGGTAGTATTATATGTGGAGATGGCCAGTGAGGGACAGGAGAGGGAAGGGATGGATAGTAGTTGTAAATCAATATCTGCTGGAGGTCAAGAGAATTAAGGTTCCTTCTGAGTTGAGGGGGGTTAGGCTGAGGTTGTTGGGTGAGGGGGTACTTGAGAGCAAATGATAAGAGGTGGTGATCAGAGAGAGGAAATGGAGTGTTGTATATATTAGATACTGTACATGCATAAAAGAAAATGAGGTTGAGGGTATTGCCAGCTACATGGGTGGGAGAATTATCCCACTGTGATAGCCCGAGGGAGGAAGTAATTGAAAGTAGTTTAGAGGCTGCTGAGGTCAAAGATGGGTTAATGGGAATATGGAAGTCCCCGATAATTAAGGATGGAATATTAGAAGAGAGGAAGTAGGGTAGCCAGGCAGCAGAGTGGTCAAGGAAGAGACGAAGGGAACCAGGGGGGCAATAATAACGGCAATGTTAGCAGAAAATGTTTTGAAAATGTGAATCAAATGAATTTCAAATTATGTAAAAGAGAGACAAGGGAGGTGTGGGTGGGTAGAGGTTTGAAGGAGCAGTGAGATGAGAGGAGAAACCCTACACTACCACCTTTACATTCAGAGTGTCTTGGGTTGTGGGTAAGTTGAAGACCACCAAAGGATAAAAATGCAGGGATAGCAGTGTCAGAGGGGAAGAGCCAGTTTCTATTGAATTGCATCTGTCACTTGCTTGCCCAGTCCCCAAATGATCAAAATCCTTCTATACAGAAGTTATATTTTGTTCAGACTGTATTATCTTACCCAGTTTTGTGTCATCTGCAAATGCTGAAAAATGACTTTCAATGGTCACTGTAAGATCAAGTATGAGCAGATTAGAGAGAAGTAGATCAAGGACAGAACTGTGTAGCACTCCACTTATCACTTTTATCCAATTTGAAAATGTTTTATTTACAACTTCTCTTTGTACTCTGACTTTGTTGGAGTTTGTTTGCTCACCCTTGCAGATAGACACAGTCCAAGGTGACCAAGTAATAAGCCACCTGGACTGTGAATCTGTGCAAGGGGGCTGTGCAGGAAAGGTGATTCCAATGCAGTACCGACAAGGACACAAACAGCAGAATAGTCCAGGGATAGCCGAAGTTAAAGGATGCCAGAGGTCAGGATAAACGAAGACAGAAGCCAGGGTCAATATGGAGTACAAGTTCAGGAGACTTGAAAACAGGAACTGAACACATAAGCCAGGATCAAAAACTTGATAAAGATCCCAGGGCAAGGCAGTGCTTATATACCCAGCTGGTTACTGATTTGTCTCAGGTGAAGCAAAGGCAATGACCACAGAAGAGGTTCAGCCCCCAGAGCTGCAGACATAGCCAGGTAGAACAGGGCTAGAAATACTCCAAAGAATAGGTACTGCTGTGGCTTAAGGCAGTAAAGCAGGCCCAGGACTGCAAAGGACCTAGGTTTAAATCCCCTGTTTGGCACTTCTGGGGCGACCACGTCTGACCGTCTGGATGTCATGGTGAGAACCATTACAGTCTTTAAGTTAGTGTTTTATCTGGGAACACAATTACTAATCTAAATCAACTGATTTCAGTTTTAATAGAAACCTTTTGTGTGTAACTATATCAAATGGCTTTGCAAAATATAAATAAGTCACAACTACTGAATTACCCTGATATATTTTTCTACTAACTTCTTTATAGAATGCAATTAAGTTAGTTTGGCATGATCTGTCGTTCAGAAAATAATGTTAATTTCTGCGAATGATACTGTTGCTCAAAATGAGGTCTTGAATATTATCCTTTAACAGCCCTTCAAATAATTTTCAAACTACATATGTTAGACTCACAGATATGTAGTTTCTGGGTTGAGCTTTTGAACCCCTTTTAAATGTAGACACCACATCTACTTTTCTCCAATCCTCTGGTACAATTCCTAAAAGAATCATGGTAAATTAAAAAACGTGGTATGCATATTTCTACGCTAAACTCTCTAAGAATACATGGGTGAATACCATCTGGACTTAGGGATTTGTTTATATTAACTTAAAGTGGCACTGTCATGGCTGAATCCAGTATTTAACTGCCCCCCCCCCCTCCTGACTCCACTACATTTAATTGTCCCCCAAATGCCCCTAAGCCCCCCATGTATTAGCTGTGCTCCCCGCCACTTCCTAAGCCTTCCATGTCCTCCCTCACTCTATATTAGCACAAGGGAGATTGAAATCTCCCGAATGCCCCTACTCGCTATGCTGCAAGTGGGGGAATGTCTACTAGAGAGTGAGCAACTGGGGATGGGGGCCCTAAATGTCAATGGGGGGAACCTATTGTCCCCCTTCCCAGCACCCTCCTATGAGCGGCAGCTGGGGGCCCTAAATGAACATGAGGGGCTTATTGTCCTCCCCCAACCCCCACCCAGGAGCAGTGGGTGGGGGCCGTAAATTAAAATGGGGGGGGGGATCTATTGGCCTCTCTGGCCCCCACCCATGAGCGGTGGGTGGGGGCCCTAAATAACAATGGGGGGACCTATTGTCCTCCCCCTGGCCCCAACCCAGGAGCAGTGGGTGGAGGCCAAAAAATTTAAATGGGGGGAATTATTGCCCTCCCCCAGGTCCCCACCCATGAGCGGCGGGTAGGGGCCCTAAAAGACAATGGAGGGGAACCTATTGGGTCCCCCCCAAACACCACCCATGAGCGCTGGGTAAGGCCCTAAATGGCAATGGGGGACCTATTGTCTGGCCCCCACCCATTAACGGCAGGTGGGGGCCCTAAAAGACAATGGAGGAACCTATTGTCCCACCCAGCCCCCACCCATGAGTAGCAGGTTGGGGCCCTAAATTAAAATGGGGGGACCTACTGTCCTCCTCCCCACCCCCCACCCGTGAGCGGTGTGTGGGGACCTAAATGATGATGGGGGGGACATGTTGTCCTCCCCTAGGCCCCCACCTATGATCGGTGGGTGGAGGCCCTAAAAGACAATGAGGGAGAACCTATTGTCTCCCCCTGGCCCCCACCCATGAATGGTGGGTGGGGGCCCTGAATGACAATGGAGGGGACATATTGTACCCCCCTGACCCCACCCTCGGGCGACGTGGGGGGGGGCTTTTTTGAATGACAATGGGGGAGGCCCTATTGTCCTCCTCCCAGCCCACACCCATGGTCAACGGGTGGTGGCTAAATATAAAAATATGCCCCAAGGTGACCAAGGGTTCCCAAGCCCCTAGTCACTCACCCACGAAAAAAAATTAGTGAGGGGGAGACAAAAAACCCAAATACCTGTAATTAAATTTAAAAAATACTTACCATTTGATATAAAATAAAAAACCCGAACGCAAATTTTTTTTTTTATTGTCTCCCTCCTCATTATTTTTAGGCTGAGGGGGATAGCTAGGGCTTTATTACATTTTTTTGGGGTGGGGGGTGACTAGGGGTTTGGAGACTCCTAGTCACCTGGAGGGGGGGGGATTTTTACATTTAGCCCCCACCTGTCGCCCATGGGTGGGAGCCTGGGGGGGGACAATAGGCCCCTCATTGTCGGTCTTTTAGGGCCCCCACCCACTGCTCATGGGGGGGGCGGGGAGTACAGTAGGATCCCCCCAGTTTCATTTAGGGCCCCCACCTGCCGTTCATAGGTGTGGTACAGGGGGAGGACAATAGGTCCCCCCCACCTGCTGCTCATGGGTAGGGGCCGGGGAGGACAATAGGTTCCCCCATTGTCTTTTAGGGCCCCACTCGCTGCTCATGGGTGAGGGACTGGGGGGACAATGTTCCCCCCATTGTTTTTTAGGGCCCCCAAGTGCCGCTCATGGGTGGGGGCCGGGGGGAGGACAATATGTCCCCCCATGTTCATTTAGGGTCCCCACTCGCCACTCATGGATGGGAGCCGGGGAGATGACAATAGGTTCCCCCCCCATTGTCTTTTAGGGCCCCCACCTGCCACTCATGGGTGGGGGCCAAGGAGGATCCTATGTCCCCTGTTTAGTTGAATAGCCCCCCACTTGCCCCTACTAGTTGAATAGCCCCCACACTATGTCCCCTCCACTAGTTAATAGATGCCCCACCATGGGGGTGCTTTTTTTATTTTTTTTATAGGCTGCTCACTGTTTAGTAAACATGCCCCTACTCACGGCATAATGAGCAGGGGCAGATTCATTACTAATACTAGTAATTTTTACTTAGTATTAGTAAAGTTTGCTGAAAGACTAATCTTGGTCTTTTAGCCTTTTAGTAGATAGCTTTCTAATTCCCACAGTTTTAGGGAGCAATCTACTAAGCGGCTCTAAGATACAGCCGCAGCATGGATCGGATCAGAATTTCATTCATTCAAATGAAATTTCAAACTGACCTAAAAGTACCGAATGTCGCCCTAACATGAATGAGCAAACTGTTCTCATTCTGTTAGGATGAAATTCGGTAGTTTTGCCAGCGTTTTGTCTAAATGGCAGGACGTTTGGGAATAGTGAAAGAGGCATTGCGAGATCACGGAGGAAAGGGTGAGTATTGTGGGAAAATTTCTCTAGCCCACAGGAAGTGGGTCAGAGCGGGTCAAGCGTAGGAAAAATACATAAGACAAAGTAGTCCAAGGATGATTGGACTCTTGTCATCTTCTGTACAGACTATTTTCCAGGGCTGCTCCTTTACAGGATGATGCAAAGAAAAATGCTGATGGATCCCACCTTCATCATTTCACTTTGTACAGCCAGTTCCCTCAACTCACAAAAAATTGGAATGGCTGGGTGATAAATAAATATTCATCCTGATGCCAGCTCTCATGGTTAGGGTGATACCAGTTGCTCCCACACTTTTTGTAGTTTGATTGATCACGCTGTTCCATTCTTACGGTTGTTTAATGTTTTTTCAGGACCTGTTTGCCTTTCTTCTTTGGCTCCAATATCTTTGGTATCCTCTACCTGTTGGCCATCATCAAAGAAAGAGCTATTAGGAGAAGCCTTCTGTTAGTTTTAGACATGTCTCTTTCTTTTTTTCTGACTGATTGCTTTTGTTTTCTTTTTCCTTTTAACTCTTTGCTTGCTGCTGAGAGGTTTCACTAAAGAAAAGTAAATTAGATATTTGTTTCCTGTCTTTATTAATATTTAAACTCTACTTTCATCTACACATTATATATTTTGTACTATTTTATAATAAATTTATAGTTTTAATTTTTACTCTGCTCCCTCATATATCTTCTGTTCCTGGTGCACCTTGGACCCTTCCCAAATCCTCAGGTGGGGATTATACCACCTCAAGCTTTCATCACCAGAGCAAGTTCATTGCTCTGGAAATTGTAAGTAAGATACTTACCTTCTCTATTCATTATTCACCAGATATACTGCACTATTGGATTTTATCTATGTTTTCTGTTTTATGTACTATTGTGGAGACTTAGAAGCGACGCCTCATCATTGATCTCATATCCTAAGACTGGGATTATACCGTCAAGGCGCTATACAGTAGAGCTCTTAGTAGCTCTGGAAAGTGTGAGTTAGTCCTTCTACCAGTTTTCCGTATACTTCATATGAGAATATATTATCTTATTTGACATACTGCACTATTATTGTCCATATTTTGTCTTTTCTCTATAAGGTTGACATCCAATCATTATATTGTTGAACAATTTTGTATGTATATACTTTTTATATTTTATTGGCGCGGTATTCCACTTCTGTTTCTTGCACTTTTCTGATTATTAGCAGGTATTGGGAATCCCTGCTGGTTTGCTGCTGCCGCATTTGTAGTCACTATAGAGAGCACCTATATCTGTTCCTTTTTTATTTACCTTCATCTAGGCTAAGCTAATTTCAAATTAAAGTCAACTCTGTCCTTTGCACTTGGCAGTCAGCATAGTGCTGCTCACAGTGAAGTTAATAAGACAAGTTTGTTCCATTGCGTACCATCCATATCACTGATGCACATATATCCTTCTTCTCACAGGTTTATTCACTAAATTGAGAATTCATGGTGAATTCAAAGTGAGTTTCAACTTTAGGGTCAAAAATTGAAAAATTCTCTGTCAGCTATGCTTTTTGTTCAGCTACCCTGGCCTTATATTTGTTATTCACTTAGAATTCACCTTGAATTCTCACTTTAGTTAATGACCCTGTCAGTCTCATTTATGTTGGCGTGGCTGCCCATTATCTCTAAAGAACAACAGACTGAGAGGATGGAACAGATAGGCCTGTCAAATAAATTAATCTGATTCAATTGGCTTAATGTTATTGAACCCATTCTTATATTTTTCTCAAAAATCAGACCATCCTATTTGGTAATGGTTGGTAGAGAATAGGAAAAGAAAAAAGTAAACTAGAAAAGGAAAGGAAGAGAAATGAGGAGACAATGGGAAAGGAAGGAGAAAATGAGAAAAAAAACGGAAGGGAGAGAGAAAAATGAAAAGAAAGGAAAATGAAGAGGGAAAAAATACCTTTACTAGGAAACTTACTTAAGATAATGGAGCATCTCGTGAAAAAGGTTAAAACATGTTATAAGTAAAATTTTTATGTTTTATTCAATGGTGGCAATTCCAGAGTAGGGATAGTTCTCTAAAAATTGTCTGAAAATAATATGATCTATGTCACAGTGATATTTTCTTTCTATTGAATTAAAGGTCAAACATTGGAGTGAAGATCTGCACAAATGTTGAAAAAGTTGCTGTTTTTAAATGTCGAAGTAAGTTTGCCAATTATCTTTTATTATTAATAGACTACATATAAAGCTAAAAACACTGGTTTTCTCACATGATCTCACAGCCAATACATCATGTCATGTCAAAATAAATCATAGCAGATGGCTCAATGATTGCATACTATGTGCATAAATTATGTTATTACTGAGGATTCTGTATAATGATATTTGCTGAGATAAACAGAGAGATCAAGCTACAGATAAATTAGATAAATAGTGAACTAAAAACTATATGTGCAATTGGCACAAAATATTTTGCTTACACGTTTGATAATGTCTGCATGATGTACAGTAATTAAAAAATAAGACGTATATATTACTATTTCATAGTAGTTTATGCATATAAATTGTCACTATGAGAAAAAAGATGCTCCTACGCCCAAAATCATGAAAGAAAAGAGTAAAAGTAATGAAATTCCAGCAAACTCTAGACTGCAAAAAGGTAGGCATCAGGAATGTGCATGGGAAAAAAAATATGGTTTGGTTCAGCACTTCCGAAATTCATGACTTCGGCAATTTAGCACTTCTGAAATTGGGGATTTCTGCAATTCGACGGTTCAGCACTTCTGAAATTCGGGACTTTGGCAATTTGGGACTTCGGGACTTCAGCAATTCCCTAACCCTACCCCTAACCCTCCTCTATCCCTAACCCTACCCCTAAAGGGTTAGGAGTATGGCTAGGGTTAGGGTTACATTCCTGTCACCATTCCCTTAATTTTCCCTCTCTCTCCTGTTTTGCCACTTTTCAGAAATCCGAAGCACTTTGGCACTTCGGCAATTCAGCACTTCGGCAATTCAGCAATTCAGTTCGGTTCGGCACTCACGAAATTCGGACCGGAACGAATTGCACATGTCTAGTAGGCATTAATGCTTTTCAGCATCTTTTGGCATGCTGCAGTTACCAACATAATTCTCTCCTTCTCCTCTTGCTCAGATGCCAATTGATGTACTGAGGTGAATATGAAACATTGAGGTTTATGGAGTTATTGTCCTGTAAAACACACTTCAGCTTTACATCACACTCTAACTCTTTTTAAAAAACAAAACAAAATCAGTGATAAAAGAAACATGCTCCCGACTTCTTATTCCCAATGAAAAGTATATACATTCCCATAATACACAGTGCACTTTTACATATTTCATCTCCTAAATGGCAAAAGAAACTCATTCTTCCAATGACATGCTGCCTAGGTCAAGCATTTTGTCTTGGATGTAGACTTAGCATTATATACTTGCCACCAAATATTGTAAATGTTTTTCCAAATAACCCCTACAGCTGTAGGGGTTATAGTGCCAGGCGTGCCCTTGTGCCTTTCCACTATAAGGAGTCAAACCATCTAGTAATGGTTTGACTGATTACCAGGGATTCACAGGATACCGTTTTCCACCTACACTACTTCTGACAGAGTTGCACCCTGCAGCATAGGACCAGCTGTATTTAATGTTCGCACATCACTTATAACTCAGATCATCAGCTGCACTTCAGTGGTTATGGTGCTTGGAAGGTCCCTTTAAGTGCTGTACTCATGTTGGATTTTCTCATTGAAAGTTAGCTGCAAAATAACAAATTTATTCTCCACTTGTAAATTTATTTCCTGTGCCTAATATATGTGAGTTAAAATGAAAATCATAAAATATCTAAGCGAAAAAGTCAAACTGTATTTTGTACCTGGTATTTCTTTGTGTTCGTGTTCCAGGAAACAGTGCACTTCAAGTAAAGTCAAAATGTAGAATTGGGATGTCTCCACCAGTTCCAGGTGGCTATTTCTTGAAAAATGTTTGGCACTCTTTATTTTGCAACCTTTCTTCGTATGAACCATTGTCTCAAATCAACGAGTGTTTGTCTGGTAAAATGATTTACCTCATGGGAGATTCAACTATCCTACAATGGATGCGATATTTTCCAAAACTTATGAAAAGTAAGTGTCTATGATAGCATTGTTTTTAATCCATGTATGTATGTTTTTTATAAAGCAAAAACAACAACAAAGGGTGTTTTTTAAATACTAGTAAGATGTTTCTAGGAAAGGGAAGAATGGAGTAGAAATATAAAAAATAGACCACTACATAAAACTTAACTTTATTCAATAAAGAGCTAAAAAGGTAATTTCACCTTAAACACTCAATTCTGTTGAGAAAGTGATTCATTTTCTTCATCAAACTCATAGATCTCAGTAAATAAAATATGTTTAAATACAAAATCAGGTTGCGCCAATTATAAAGTCCAAAAGATCCAAAAAGGTTAAGAAAAGTCCAAACAATTCTTGTGGGATTCCTGGCTGGTAACCGTCAAGGCTTTAGATATTAGTAGGAATATGCAGATAAAATAAAAACAACTAATAATCATGCTGGTTGTCAAATGCTATGTGCAGGACAACAACAAAAATAAGTGGACTAACACTCACAATCAATAGAGCTATAGACCAACTCTGAGTAAAAAGGTAGCTCATGTGGGTTAGTCATTTAGCCTCTGAAACGGATATTAATTTACCCGGAGATATGTTCAGGTGGAAACCAAATTGACACTTGTATTTCGAGCTGCTCGGAGAAAGTAATCAGATCAGATATTTTTTGATTCAAAGATTACTTCCCTATTTTATTGTGTAAGCTTACAGATTATATACTCCTTTGTAAAGACAGCTTTGTGACTTGCGCGCCAAAAACTGGATGGGTGAAGTCACACTATACCATAAAAGGAAATTACAGAACTAAGCATATTTCAATGGTGTTATATATATATATATATATATATATATTCAGTGGTTTCTGAGGAGACGATTGCAGCTTTACCCTCAACTCCCCCTCTGATGTCCTAATATATATATATATCTTAGGACATCAGAGGGGGAGTTGAGGGTAAAGCTGCAATCGTCTCCTCCGAAACCACTGAATGTCACAAGTCATGATTTTATGCTTACATGTGCTTATTTGTCAGACAGTTGAAACTAGACTAAAAGTTAAAAAGCATAACATGAAAGTAAAAACCGACTGGACATCCGGTCATCTTAGTAGCATGAGCCTGGGGTCAAGGTACCTATCATTATAATTCCATTACAATTTCCCTCTTTTTGACCCTACGGCTCACACAGGTGACTGAGGTATGTCCAGGTATGCTAGTCAAAACCTGTGGGTCTTTATTAATGCCTTCACCACGATTCCCTCAGACAGGGCAAACCAGGAGTCACAGGAGGCATGTCATTCATCAGTTATACAGCTCTGTAGGTGTCAGAGGTTGAGGAAGCTGGCATATAAGTTAAGGTATGACCAGCATTAGGTTTTGATTTACACAAGGATTATAGAAGACAGGAGAAGAAAAATCATCATTATGACAAATACTGCGATAAGTAAGAAATACAATATTTTCTTAATTAACATACTAAGCCATGTACCAAGACCAAAGGTCCAATCCCAATCCCCAAAGAACTCTGTATCTTGTTTTATTTCCTTCACTAGGTTGTGAAGAATCTGTATATGTTCTGTATATGACGTCTGTCCGACAGGAAAGTTCATAGCTCTGTCTAGGGGTATTTTCACTAAGCATTGTATATAGACAAAATATATTATTTCTAATAGCTTACATGCTCAAAGTTAGCCAATTTTAAACAGACTGAACATCCAGTCATCTGTAGCTGGAGCCTTGGGTCAGTATAGGCAAAGTGTATTATTCCCAACAGTTTACCTCCTTCGTGAACGCATATAGACAAAGTGGGAATAATACCCATCCCTCGTCCGTGGACCAGGGTCTAGGATTACCAGTCCACCCGGTGATCTGGGGCCAGGTCAAAAAACCCAGTGAAAAAAACTCGTATTTGAGGAAAAGGCACTTCTGGGGAAACCCTGAATGGGGGCCACAACCGTATAGACCTGTCATCCCTCACGTTGATACCACCTGTGACTTGGGTATTGGGAGGAAACACTTCTTGATAATGGTGGGAAAAGCCCATTTGCATACAATCATTAAGTATATTATCATCAAACTCACAATTATTACAGTAATTGCAACCAGGACCTTATGTCCTATATCTCCTAACCATTTCCCTATTCCAAAGGTCCAGTCAAACCAAGTCACATCCACACCCAGTTCCTCACAACATGGGAATCCATCCTTGGCACACTCAACATACATCAACAACACATACTACATCCTTCCCTGGGCCAGCTAACACCACCTCCCTCTCTGGCTAACTCAAAAAAAAAAAAATAACAAAATAGTTCAATAGTTGAGCAATTGGGCAGACTAGATGGGCAGAATGGTTCTTATCTGCAGTCACATTCTATGTTTCTATGTTTCTAGTTCAGAAAAAATAGAATAAGTCCATCAAGGAGTATAAATGTGGACACCATACATTTTGTTCCATAAAATAGCTAAGGGTAGCAATATGGCTGACAACAAGACAATGTCAGCTTCCACATAGTTCTTAGTTCTTAATATTTCTTTTGTTTGCTGGATATTCACCACAATGCTCTGTGCAACACCCCAATTGTTGAAAGGGTTAATACAGAACCAGGTGCATTAGACAGCACTGCACCTTCAGGACTTTCCAGGTTCTTGCGTACAAAGGTTATGTCCTCATAAGTAAGCATCTCAGTTTCTTCGGCCTGCATGGATTTTGACCAAGCAGATGTAATTGCAAAATAGGTAGTGTAAATTCAGCCAGACAGAGAGATTGGTGCACAATCCCAAGAATCAGATGGCACAAACACTCAAGGATGGTCTCTACAATTATACAAACACAAGGATCAATATGACATGAACAATTCTAAAAGGATATATCTATTATTATCAATTTATCAATTACCTAGGCTAAATTAGAGACTAAAATTAAATCCTTAACTGGTGTAAATCTCTCAGCTTTGCTTATATTTCATGAAATTTGTCTTCCATAAAATTTTTCATAATGCCCTTTGGAAAGCCTTTGTACAGACGAGAGAAACACTCACTCTAAATACTTGATTAGACAGGATGGGTACTAAAACACTTTCTCGAGCAAGTGACTGATGAAATCTATATACATAATCTTAACATACACATATGGGAATAATTCCCAATAAAACTCTGTTCCTAAACTTAAACCTTGATTTGATCATCTCAATTAAATTCTCTTGGATTAACACCCAAAACTATATATAAAATATTAAAAACATGAACCATCTAATTCAGACTTACTCAAAGAGTATTAATATCTTACTATAAAATCCTAACTTATGGTCTTTGTTCCCCATAATGAATAATGCTAGGGTGAGATGTGGTTGGGCATAGCTCAAACTGAGTATCACAAATCTCTAACCACAAAAGCTTAATTTTATAAGTTTATCAAAAAACTAGTTTAACCTATTAGTGCGTTCTTTGGGTGGCTTCTTTCCATAATTTGGCTCCTTGTGAAATTATATCATTTATTCTCTTCTGGGTCTGCAAAATGCTTTCAATTTACCAATACAAATATAATACAGTAGTTTAGTAGATTAGAATTGCCTCACTTATAAATGTCAGAAATTGCCTCATATCTATTATAAATACAATTTCATCATTACCCTATGATCAATGAGGCATACTAGATGAATCTTACTTTGGGAATAAAACTTTCCTATACATGCCCCAACAGATTGGAGTTTCTGCCTAGTCAAAAAAGGCAGAATGATCAATATGGATAACATGATTTTCTTTGACACAAATAATTCAACACACTTTAAAAGTAGAGTTAACTCAGAGCTGGACAATACTCCCCTAATACTAGTCCTTTATAATGTCTTTTCAGAGAAAGAATCACATTCAGGATTAGTCCATTTGCAAAGGGAAACGCGGATCCACGATTTGAATAGCAGAAGTTTGTGGGGCCACTTTAATGTGAGATGTAAAAAGCGTTTTTCTCAGTCTCATATTATTAAATAATGTCCAGGAATGATAGCATGCAGTGGATTTATTCTTTTCGGCTTTATAGCATTACCTGTCGTAAAAACACTAAATGCTTTCGTTAATGACATGCAAATATTCTTAACTTTACTATTTAAGCTCATAAACAATAGACCTTAACACATAACACACCAATTCATTACAACCCATAGAACTCAAACTCAGCAATCGTTGTAATATCAAACATGTTGTCATCTGACAAAACAGAACACAACAGACGTAGTTGATACACATAATAGATACCCAGCAAATATGGACACGCAACTAAACCATAACCAATTCAAAATAAGTTAATACATTTCCCACTCTGTGTCCCTCAGAAGAAACTCAGTTAGACATAATGTTTCCTATGCTCGTGATAAATTACAAATGCAGTCTCAAACTAACACGTCCAATTAAATATGCAACACCCTTCTCATACCTATGTATAATAAGCTTTTAAAAAAATAATGAAAATTTCTGCAAACTGTTTGTTTGACTTCTACGGAAGCAACAATGACAACCAGCATTGAAGATAGAGCACAAAACTTGGCAAATGAACAGGGAAGTTGAATAAAACAGCAAGTCAACTATTGCAACAGCAATACAGCAACAGCGTTGGAGTCAAGATACCTATCATTATAATTCCATTACACCTCCATATGAATATAAAGGGTAAAATGAAAAAGTAACACAATAGTGCTCATTGTGATAAAATCAGATACAGATAAAAACAGTAGTTTACTCACATTTGATAAAGCAGTAACACTGCTCTGAGGACTGTGCTTGGGTGGTATGATCCCCACCAGTGATAAAATGTAGAGTGAATTCTCTAGAGCAGGCTCCCCCAAACTCCGGCCCTCCAGATGTTGCTGAACTACAACTCCCATGACTCTCAGCCTGTCTATTTCATTCATAGATTCATGGGAGTTGTAGTTCAACAACATCTGGAAGGGTTTGGGGCAGCCTGCTGTAGAGGGTATTCCTCGGCAGGCATTATGTGTAGAGTAGAGTAAAACCTTATAGATGTGCCAGGAACATAAAATAATTAAAAATAATAAAATATAAAAGCATAAAAAGTGTAATAACTGGTCTAACAGGTGAAAGCCAAATATACATGAATGCTAAAAACAGATTAAAAGAACACAACGCGTTCCACCAAACAGGGGGGCTTTTTCAAGTGTAAACAACATGAGCCTGGCATAAAGGGGCTTAACAATTCAAAAATGAGCATCATCTGTGGCCGTTGATCTCTATTGGGGTTACATGACATAGGGCAGAGGTTAAAACAAATATATCCTTAATAGCAAGTTAATAATGAAAGCATAAGAAATACAAAGTGACAAAGCAATAATAACCTCTTTCTATAGTGAGTTTGATCTAAAATTAGATAACCTAGCCTCTGACAAATCAGAGATTTTGGGGTAAAAAATTTATTTTTAAAACTTTTTATAAGCATGATTTCCAGATGGCTGTAGAAGATGAGCCACTGGAAATTCTATTTTTAGGGAAAACCAAGAGGTTGTTTTTTTTTTTTTTTTTTTTTTAATGAGCCTTGATCATAAAAATATGATATATTTTCACTTTCTCATTATTTACCATTAAGTCTATCTTAGTGGTGCCTGGTAGGTATTTGTTTTAGCACAAGTTACAAAAAACACGCACAGCAGTCTATCTAACAATATAACATATATTAATGTATTGATAAACCAAAGTACAGTTAATAATCTGTGCCTTTCACATATCTACCCAAGGGTTCTCTGCCCAACTCATAACCCGAACTACCCATTTGTCCTATAATAAAGGTATTCTCCAAAGCTCCACCAAGGACATCACTAACCTCCATATCCCAGGAGAAATATCCTATATGCCCAACTTTTATGGAGGTAGAGGCACCCTGTATAAACAAAAATAAAGTATGGAGAAAATCCTATCATGGATAGCCAGGGAAAAAGAGGGTAAATCCATATAAGACCAACAATACCAATGCTTAACATACACCCACAAATCACATACATTCTTCCGAGGGTCCATGGGGGCGAGGGCTGATGAGGAGAAATAACTATAAAGGATTTTGTCCAAGGGTCAGACAGTAGTCGTCCCAAAGCGCCAAAGTGTCCGTCCTCTCTTTCTAAAGTTCTGTTTCTCTGCATCACCCTTTCCACATCTGACCATTTTGCAGCCTTCCTGCTTTCCAATCTACAATCCATTTCGCTATTGATAAAATATGAAGCAGAAGGGATTTTAGTTCTTTTGTATGATGACTAGGTATAAAGTGAAACAGAACCAGTTCTGGGTTAGATTAATTTTTCACCGATACCCGGAGATATCCCATATTTTTAACTCCTTCCAAAACATTTGTATGTGGGTACAAGACGACCTTATGTGCCGTGAGCCTACCATTACAGCCTCTTCAACAAAATTAAAATGTCATCTTTCTTTATCTTCTAAAGTTTAACTGGCGTAATATACCATCTGTTTACAATTTAAAAATTTTAAAATACAACTCCCTACATGTTTGATTAATTTATCCGTTAAAACTGGCACCAAACCACATTTCCATAGGCAAAGATTGATTTAATTCTTCTTCCCAAATTCTCATATTTAGACACTTAATATTCATGCCTCTATCTCTCAAAACATTCAAAACATTTTGAAAGTTATGCTTCCTGTTTGATGAACGTATTATTTTTTTTCACAAGGTGTCAACTGTCTAAACTCTTTAGACGGTACCTTATCTAATAGATACTAGATCTCAACCTATTATATTCCATCCACATATTAGCTGGAATATTAAAGTTGGACTGAATATAATCAAATGGGAGGAATTCATTATTTACATATAAGTTCTTAAATATTTACATCCCCTTTTGATAAAATCTCTAGCAAAGGAGATTGATCTTTCTTGAATCCATGAGATCGGAAAATCGGTTTGGAATGGAATCAAGGAATATTTGCAGTTCAAACAACTTTTAAGAGTATACCAAAATGTCGAAGCTTTTACTATGCACTAGACTACTGGATAAATCATCTCAAAAAATTATTTAATTCAGGTGCTCTTTTAAACAAAAAGCTTCTATCGTGCCCAGTTATTATTTTCAATTCTTCTTCCCATCTCAACATATGCACCAAAAGGGAGGCTTCCTGATATTTCTTAATGTCTGATATGCATTCTCCACCAGAAATTGTATTAACCAAAAATTGGTATCTTAATACGCATTCTTTTATTCTGATGGATAAATACATCAGTTACCCGCTGTATATTATTCAGCAAATAGATCGGACACTGGCAGGGTATGCAGCGATAATATAAGTGATCTTAAGTAATATGGTCATCTTGACGCTGCTATCCTACCTGACCAGGAAATATTAAGATTTTTCCATGTGGCTAGCACTTGCATTACATTAGAATAAACCAATTGGAACTTTAACTGTAATAGTTTTTTTTAATTCAGCAAACCGCTTAATTCCCAAATGGGTCACTGGAAATTTACAGTTAAACTGAAATAGTTGGCTTAAGAATTTTTCCGATTCATATTGAAGCGGATTGCTTCCAGATTTTTTACATTTCATTTATAATTGATATTACACTATATTCATTTATAATCCCTTAAAGGGCTATTAGGGATTTTTCCTGATTTTCTATTGTTATTACATCCTCCGCATAGAGGGCTATTACATGGGATTTTCGGCCTACGCAATAGCTTTTATATCTACTGATTCCCTATAGTAGACCCCAAAGGCTCAATGATCAAGGCAAAAATCAATGGACAACCTCCTAGTACCATTTGAGATAACAAACCTTCCAGATCTAAAGTTTTGACTAATAACACTCGCAATCGGGATGTATATAAGGCAGCTAATCGCTTTAGAGGCAAAATCACTAGTTATATTTTGACAGGGTGAGGAAATAAAAGTCCCAACACCCTGTCAAATGCTTTCTCAGCATCAAGTCCCACAAAAATTTTTGATCACTGAGGTTATATTTAAGAGTTTCCTGATATTGTCGGAACCCAATCTCCCCTGGATAAAACCAGTTTGGTCAGGATTGATCGGGTTGTGGATATATTGATGGAGTCTTTCTGCTAAAATTTTGGCATAGATCTTAATATCCACATTAAGTAAGGATATAGTTCTGAAATCCCTACATTCGGGGGTTAAATTATTTGTTTTACGAATTATTTGAGCCTCCAACAATTCTGGATGAGCTCTGTCTGCCTTCTTGATTTCGTTTAATGTTTGACACAAATAACAAGAGATCTTCTCGTGGAAAAGTGAGTAATATTGATTAATAAGACCATCGGGTCCCGGAGCTGAGTCACATTTCAACTTTGAAATTGCCCATTTAACTTCCTGTTCCGTAATATCCTCATTTAACTTTGCCGACTGTTTTGAGAAACACTAGGAAAATGGATTTTATCTAAAAATTCTGCAATTCTCCTTTTTTCTTCTCACTACCATCTATATTAGTAGAATTCAAGTTATAAAGATCATGGTAGTATCTCTCAAAACATGCGGCAATCTCATCAGGTTTAACAAACAGATCTTTATTATATGATAGCTTATTTATTCTGCCATTGATTTTTGTTTCAACCTACTAACCATCAATTTCCCTGCTCTATTTTGACCATGATATGATCTTTGTTGTGCAGCCAACAGCGATTTATCTGCCAATAATTGATGTATTCTTTCTATTTGTAATTCTCGAATTTTATTAAACTTTAGATCAGGTGGGGATTTTTTATTTTCTCTGTCCATTAAAACCAGTTCTAGATGTAAATCCCTTAGTGATTTTCCTCTCTGCTTCTTTAAAATCAAATTTTATCATTATCCCTCTTATGTAGGCCTTATAGGGGAGCCATACTATTACTTTAGAGTTTACGGTACCGTCATTCCTTAAGAAGAATGCGGCCGTTTCATTTTTTAGATTTTTAAGTATTTCAGGGTCTTTTAATAGTTCCATGTCTATTCTCCATGGTCTCTAGTTCTTAACAGGAGGGTCTGTACCTAAACTTACTCCAGCCAAGCCATGATCAGACCACGTAATCACCCCAATTTCTGAGTGTTTAATTTTAGAAATAGCCTACCTGTCCATGAAGATATAATCCAATCTACTATACATTTTATGTCTATGTGAAAAAAATTAATAGTCCCTCTCAGAAGGGTGCAACGTTCTCCATGTATCATAAAGATTTAAGCAATAATTTAAGCAATAAAATAAACTTTTTAGAGTTTTGGACTAGCTGAGGATCCGATTTTATCTCTCCTATATAGTCTCTATCTGCAGATGGATCCAAAGGTAAGTTAAATCGCCACAGATCACTAAAATCCCCATGAATAATTATTTCATTACTTTCAATGTCTGGCTAATAAATTAGATTTGCCCTTTATTAGGGACATACATAATTAAAATTGTAAATTTCTGAGAATTAATCAGAACTGCCCATAGTAAATACCTTCCTTTTCCATCCTTTGACAATGTCCTCCTTTATAATTTAAGGTTTTATTAAATATTATTGAAACCCTTCTCAACTTACCTTTCGAGTAGAGGTTGGAATAATATCTATTACCAAAAAAGGGAACCTTATTAGTCTGCAAGTGAGTTTCTTGAATACATTTAACATCCGGTTTACCCCTAAACAGATTTTTAAATGCTATACTAATAATCCTGAGAGTCATAGCAAACCAAACCCACCACGACTCTGAGGACCAACTAACCCACCTCCATCAGCACCTTCTTCCCCATGCCTCGGAACCTCCCGAAAAACACAACATACACATTCAAACAAAAAATTTAAAAAAATGATGTGATACAATCATCTTCTTGGAGGATCTACCTACTTAGAGAAATCCCATTCTCAGTCTACCACCTCTAGAAGTGGCAGATAAATCTAAGTTTCGTCGAACTACCTCAGGTTGAGACCTTTGCGGAGGTCTCCAATCAGACTTGCCAATACTCTATATGTTCATCTTTAACCGCAGCCTTCTTATCAATATCCCACAGTAACACAAGTGAAATTCATCTAACAGGGCTAGTAGGACAAGCACTACAGAGGGACCTAAGGGGCCAAGATCAGACTTCAAAGGCAAGAGGAAGAGGAGAGAGTAAGACGTCCCTTTATACAAAACCCAAGATTTTAAAACCACTATCTTAACCTATCCTCTAATCACCCCTCCTCATTTCCTCTATGCATACAGAAGGTCATATAAACACTCTTATGAACAATATCACTAGTTTAAACAAGACACATTAGGATAGGACAGGGAACAAATCAAAAAATGGCTATCATTCCTGGGGCGTTGTCCACTATGCTGGACAAACCATTAAAAGTGCCAAAATATGCAAATTTACAGATACCAATCCAAATAATTTCTATACCACACTATCTTCTATATAATCTCCTTTGAATTGTGATAAACATTAATCGATGAATCCATCCTATATTGTGTAATTTCACAGTGTAAAAAATAAATAAATAATGTTCTCTCTAATGTAATACATGTCTTTCCAATTAAACCCACAAGGGCCCTTTTGGGGCCATTTTATAAAACCTAAATTGAACCTTAGTGAAATCTTTAACATGTCCGCCGGTACTGGATCTGCATTCAAATAGCTTACTTCTATCCAAAAACCAAGCTACTCAAAACCCATATCACTTGACCCAGCGAAGCTAACTCATTTTGTGCTATTTTTCAATATATTGTGACCTATTCAATTATCATTATTCTAAAAAGTGCTCATAAAGTTTTTACCCATAAACTTCCTTTAACACCCCGAACATAACTCTATAAACATTGCCAAACCTTAATTTTATCCCCTCTCCCAATTGTCTCAAAAAAAAAGTATCTTAAGCAATCCCCGACAGGGTTATATCTTAAAGAAACTTTTCCCCCTCATGTAGAGAGTTGATTATTTTAAACTCCATACCCATTTTAATGATTAATTTAGTTGGAAAGCCCCATTTATAGAAAACATTTTTATCTCTTAAGACTTTTGTTATCGTTCTAAATTCTTTACGTTCCACCTCTCCTGATATATCGGGAAAAATTTTCAATTGATCATTAGGAGCATTCAAATTTTTACATTCAAAGACTTTCTGTAATATTTTTTGTTTCACAGTGAAAAAATGTAATTTCACTATCACATCCTGCGGTAAATCCCTTGAAATATTACGTGATAGAGGGAGTCAATGAACTCTATCTAACATCTGGCCCTCTCCAAATCTAAATTAGCAAAAAAGTTCAAAAATGTTATGACATAGTTTGGAAGATCTGCCTATCCCACTGCTTCAGGTATCCCTCTTATGCGAATATTATTTTGTCTGGAGAAGCTCTCCAGTCTGCTATATTTCTGTTTCAAACTTGAAAGCTCCTCTCTTAATTTCTGTATTTCCAAATTAGAATGATTCTGTGATTCTATCAGATGTGCTTGTTGGATGCCCAGGTCTGTTACTTTCTTTGAAAGGACATTTGTATCTTTGGAGTTTTTGGCAATCTCCCTAGAAATTTCCTGCACCATAGAGCTCTTTAGGTCTTTCAGTAAATCTATCATTACTACCTTCATGGTAGCTATCGGGAGTTCTTCTCTATGACTATCTACCTCTGCTGGCTCCTCTACTAAGGATGACTCAGCTGATGTCAATAAATTATCCGAGTGTTCTAATTCTTTTTGCGTCCCTGTTGTAAATGCTGACTCCTCAGAGCTTTTACCTTTTTTAATTGCGCTAAAGAGATTACTTGTCGAGTTTCCATTAACTTTTTCCTTTTCTTTGCCCTTACCTTTACCCTTTCTACTTTGGTTGTACTTGTTTTTCCATTATGTCCTCTTATAACAACCGTTTAAGAACAATTTAACAATGATCTAAAAACTCGAGATGACAATAAAGGCCCAATATTGACTATAAACCACAAAAGGTTCTGATTGTGAGGACCGATAAGCTCAATCACCTCAGAAGGCACAACAAACACACAAAAAAGAAAGAAAGAAAAAGGGGTGGAAAACCCAAAGAACAGTTAGATTATGATTCAGCCAGCTACTGCCAGAGCCACTAACTTACTGTATATGCAAAGGTCTGTAAAATGTCAACAATCTATATACATGTCCCGGAAAGCATTAAACATATATAGCTGGAATCGTTCTTTTCGGGTCTCCAATCTGCATCAATATTCTGTGATAAGTGCATAAGGCAAAGATTGTCTCTTCAAAGACACCTAAGAGCCCATTTAGGCCAGTTAATCCAAAAAAAAAAGATTTCTCTTATGTCTCAGCTTCCCCACCAAAATAAAGCGGAGCTGAATTTAACATAACAGTTAATTGCTGTTAAGTGCTTTCCTGATACCATATCCACAACTTTAGTGGGCTGTTATTGTTATGGTGTAAGGTATACAATCCTGATATCCACAAGGTGGATATAACCGAGAAAGAGAAGAGGAAATGAGACAAACTTATAGTCAATAAATAAATAGATAACCTAGCTCTGAGACTGGAAAATTTAGGAATTCACCAAACCCTATAAGACATAAAAGCAATACACCATAAAATATGGTGTGGGTATCCAGGAGCTATAAATCGGGAGTATGATACACGTAGTAAGGTGAGAGATAAAATACAGATAATTGGCACTCAAATTTATAAATGAAATATAAAAGGATAGTATGCAAGTTCGTTAATAAATTTTTTTAAGTTTGATAAATTAATAACACAGTCCAAAATGAGGTAGTATTTCGATTTGCAGAATATTTATATATATTTATATATGTATCTTTTGAGTCCTTGTTTTAGATCATAGAAACATAGAATGTGACGGTAAATAAAAACCATTCGGCCCATCTAGTCTGCCCAATTTTCTAAATACTTTCGTTAGTCCCTGGCCTTATCTTATAGTTAGGATAGCCTTATGCCTATCCTACGCATGCTTAAACTCCTTTACTGTGTTAACCTCTACCACTTCAGCTGGAAGGCTATTCCATGCATCCACTACCCTCTCAGTAAAGTAATACTTCCTGATATTATTTTAAACCTTTGCCCCTCTAATTTAAGACTGTCCTCTTGTTGTGGTTTTTCTTCTTTTAAATATGGTCTCCTCCTTTACAGTGTTGATTCCCTTTATGTATTTAAATGTTTCTATCATTTCCCCCTGTCTCGTCTTTCCTCCAAGCTATACATGTTAAAATCCTTTAACCTTTCCTGGTAAGTTTTATCCTGCAATCCATGAACCAGTTTAGTAGCCCTTCTCTGAACTCTCTAAAGTATCAATATCCTTCTGAAGATACAGCAATCAGAGTGAGCAGACTCTGTCATAACTGAGTAAGATCTATAGCAAACCAGACAAAGTTGTTGAACTGCATGGTGTCTTTTATGTGCCCACTTAGCAAACTATTACAGCTTTCACTGCCGCAATCAGGTAAATTGGACTACTCAATAAAATAAGTGTAAGTCAAGAACACTTACAGGGCTCTTCATTAAAGTGGATATTCAAAGTAAATTTCAAATTTCAAACCAGAGTAGCTGAATGGAAAGCACAGGTGACTTAGACAATTATTTTTAGTTTGTCTATTTTGATCTTGAATTTGAAATTCTCTTGAATTCAACTTGAAATCTTACTTTACTGAATAACCCTGTTAACCTGCCGTTTATGCTCAGCCTTGCATAACACTTGCAGAAGGCTATTTTGCAATCCCAGGTATGCCTTAAAATACTCACTTGGAGTTGCTTGAAGTAGTCTTAAAGTATGAATTTAAAGTAGATTATATTCAAATGTAAGGTTAAAAACTAGGACTTTTCCTTAAAGTTCTTGCAAAACTGTAAATGGTGGTTTGTATTTGTTAAATTTGCTATATTTTTCAAAGTGGGTAAAAGCACTTGTTTCCATCTGTACAACTGCTAATTGAGTTAGTTGGTGAAGTGTTCCTTTCATTTGTGTGTTTGTTTGTTTTTTTGTCTTTTTTTTGTAAAGCTACATAAACTCATAACTAACTCACTTTGAGCTATATGCAGGAGTCTATTTTAAAGTAGGCTAAAATTAAGTAGAAGGTTTAAAGAAACAAGATAATTACAGTTTTCACGTTTTTATACTTGTTTTTTGTGTCTGGGGAAATGAGTGATATGATGATTGTAGCTCTGACTCGGTGCACATCTTTTAACATGTATAGATGGATGGAAGAAATCTTCCAGGATCCATACCTCTGTGGTACATATGAGTGTGTAGCTTCACTTGAAGCTCAGATCTGGAGAAGAAAATTGCAACATTGAGGCAGATTGACAATACTGAAATAATCTGCTACTCACTGAGCAGAGTTTAGTTGGGAAATCTACTGAAGTAAGAAAACATAAGATAGTTGAGGAACAGGGAATTATTGAGTGACAATTACATGTGGTAGCAGGGGTGGAGGGAAAAGTAAAGGTTTGCAAAATTTTGGGCTAGTCCTGATTTCTGAAGTAAATCAGATTTGCTACCTCCTCTAGTATGAGTGGGATCAAGAATGTAAGAAATGTTAGACAGGTTATGGTAGTAGGAGACTTATTATGAGAGTAGACAGGGTAATCTTCCACTCTGATCACCTTAATGAGACAGTTTGCTGCATCTCACCTTAATTGGACAGTTTGTTGTTTGGACAGAGTAAATGGCTTGGGAGAGGCTGGCACCATATATGTACCAATGACAAAGCCAGAGGAAGTTTGAGGATCATAAAGAATGAATTTAGAGGATTAGGAAATAAACTGAAAAAACATACATTGAATGTAGTATTTTCAGATATACTATCTATGCCAAGTGCTATAGTGGAAAGTCAGCGTGAGATTACGTAGGTTACTCTGTGGCTGAAGTTGTGGTGTAAGAAAAAGGGTTTAGGCATTTTAGAACACTGGGGTCATTTTGCACTTGGTTACAATTTCTATAACCATGATGGATTGAACAGTGTTAGGAATACTATAACCCACCACACAACTTTGGTCAAAAATACAGAATACCCTACAGAGCATGATACCAATCCTTAGAGTGGCCGAGCTAATGTAAGAATATAGGGGAAATTGTAAACAGAAACAAGTCAAGGTCAACATTACGTAGATACGAAGAAACAAGATAACTAGCCAAGGTCAGGGAAATGGAGATACAGAGTCAGGTGAAACAAGCCAAGGTCAATGCTAGCAGTGGGAAAATGCGCCAACTGGGAACCTATATGGAAATCAAAACAAGGCAAAGATATCAGGGCAAACACACTATTCAAACTGTTATGTGCACTTTAATAGGATAGAACCAGAAGTGACACAATAGACCTGGCTTTAATTAAAAAGTGCACACTGCAAGAGGGCAGCATTTATAATGCTTCACAAGAGGAGAGGAAGCTTGGCATCCTCCTGATTGGTGTAGGCAGCCCTCACAGGAACTAACCAAGACGTCTACCCATCACTATTTGGCCCTTGTAAAAGTCACTCAGATATTTCTCCTGCTGTTAATACATGAAATTCAAGAATTGACTCTTCTCTTGCTGTCAAATATATTCCACCTCCAGAGAGGTGTCATTGTAACAATATAATCCGTGTTATTTACATCACTACTCAGTGGTTCTAATGTTGTGATTGATCAGTGTATAATAACTGTCAGATTAATGCATGCTTTAAAATAATCACAATGGAATAAAATATGAATGTGCTTGGTATTTGAAGATGTAATTTAGTATTAATAGATGTACACATACATTATGTTTATGTGTACCTCTACTAATACTAAATTAGAAGAAAAAGATATGGCTTTAAATAAGCTATATGTACAAAAAATGATTTGACTGGAAAATAAAAAGATACTTGTGACAAACTCCCCTTTCCGCGTGAGTTTGCCATGAGTTCCTGGAGGCGCATGCTTGCCAGCCTCCTGCCCACAAACTATGGGCCCTGTAATATGTCCTGTAAATATATAGTCTATTTGGACTATATGGCTCAGGAACCGAACAGCCGCACGAACCAGAGACCACCCGGGAGCTTGTTAAGCCTAATTGCTATTTTGTAGCAATTTCCATTGCAGTGTTCTAAGTGTTCGTCTGGGTGGCCGCATTTCCTATGGACGACCACAAGGTGGCGGCCATCTTGTTCGCATGAATTCAAGCAGCGGTGTTTGGTTGTCAAGTTCAAGGAACTGAAGACTGACACAGAAACGCCCGACTTACAGCATCACCTGCGTTCAGTTCTACAATACATAGGAAGACACTGTTTTGTGGAAACGTTCCCATGAACAAGGTAAACAAGCTTCAGGGTAAGAATATTGACTTTGTTCGGTAGTTTGTTCAGTTTTAAACTACTGAACTAGACCGACCGCTAGCCCTGATCTTGTGGAACTGTTTTGGGCAGGATCCTCATATTAAGACTTCCTGGAAATTCCTGATTTTTGGATATGTTGGTCACCCAGGTCAGGGCTATCTAGGGATGTAACCTTTAGGGTGTTATGTATTTTTAAGGTACTTTGGGGGTGTTTGGTACAGTTCCTGCCTCCATTATCTCTCAGGCATAGGGGAGGGATTATCCTGTTTTGAGTGTCATGGGCGTGATTGTCTGTGTGCAGAAATGTATAAAAGCAGGCCATCTGGCCAGACTAAAGGTATTCCAAATTGTACTCCCAGAACTATGTGTCATCTGGTTACTGGGAGGGGAAAGGACTAATCACGAATCACTGTTCCAGTGTGGAGGATTCACCGGGGAATGTCCTTGTAAGGACTAGAGCTCCCAGGACTGAGTGTCGTCCAGTGCCTGGGGGTTGCTAGAGCAAGTTCCCCATTCGGCTCCAGGAGGGAGGGTTTCCAGGACCCCCGTCAAGCCACGGTGACTGTGGGCAGAAGTGCTGCGGTTTGTCCCATGCTCCAGCTAGGAAGCAGTCATTGACGGAGGTACCCAGCCAGGGGTAAAGGGAGCTCTGTTACAATACTATATGGGGTAAAATCTAAATATATTCCTGACAAACATGACACACTGATTATATGCAAACAATGTATTATGAGTCAGTGTACATTTTAAAATACTCTTTTATTGAGAAAAAAAAATTATATTTGTGTTACAATTCTGAAAACTGAAAATTTTGTTTTAAAAATCTTTTAGAGCACAATTAATATAATTTATTCTTGGTATTTGGCAGCATAGAAAATATTATGCATTTTTTTTAGATGTAACACTTTTTTAATCTTTAGGAAACAGGAATTGATTTTGATCATCCTAAAAAAATGTTTCTTTACTTTCTTACAGGTCTAAAATTTTTTGATCTTCATGGGAGTGGCTGGGAAAAGCAATTATTAGCTTTAGACATGGAGAGGCAGGTCTTAATTCAGTGGAAGAAGCATGGACTCCCATTTGTGACTCTGAGTTTCTTTACTCTCAAAGACTATGCTACTGTCACCAATGAAATTGACCGGCTTGCTGGTGGCCCTCAAACAATTATTGTCATTGCTCTTGGACAACATTTCAGACCCTTCCCTCTACCTTTGTTTGTAAGAAGACTTCTCAATGTACGGAAGGCCATTGAACGCCTTTTCCTGAGAAGCCCTGAGACTAAGGTGATCATTAAATCAGAAAATACCAGGGAAATAAAAACAGATGTAGAGCGATTTAGTGACTTTCATGGTTACATTCAATATCTCTTGGTCAAAGATGTCTTTAAAGGGCTTAACATTGGAATGATTGATGCTTGGGACATGACAGTAGCATTTGATTCCAACGCTGCTCATCCACCTGAGATTGTAATTAAAAACCAAATTAATATGTTCTTGGCATATATATGTTAATTCATAAATTATAGCTGATACCAATTCTAATGCATTTTTTGAAACAGTTTATATCAAGGTATATCTTGATAACAAATCCTGGTTAATTGTAAACATAGTACAGAAGGAACATTTACATTTTCCCATGTTAACAATACAAACATTCTATTGGATTTATTATTATTAGATCATGATACTTCTCTAAAGGATTCTAGAGATGTCACAAAGGAAGATTTTCTTACCCATCTTAAAACATCTCAACTAAGTAGCTAAGACTGCTGAGACCCTGGACTAAAAAAAAAGTTTGTCATTCTTATTTAATCAAAAACATTTTATAAATAAGGAAAAAAATAACTCTCCTTACTTAACGCCTTTACAGTGTTCTGTACTGTAATGCTTAAAATGGGCATAAAAGTCACTATGGTGACATAGAACAACCCAAGGATTCCCCCGGCAGCAAATCCGGCTCTTTCAGGCCATGCGATCGTGTTGACATTGTGATCACATGGCCGAAATAGCAGTCCACAGCCAGGGCCAGTGCAAGGATTTCTGCCGCCCTAGGCAAAGACCCATTTTGCCGCCCCCTCATGTCACTCACTGGCAGACACACATACTCACTGGCAGACACACACACTTACTCATTGACAGACATACACTCAATGACACACACACACACACTCACTGACATACATACACTCACTCACTGAAAGACACACACACACATACACACACACATACACATACATGCACTCACTCACTGACAGACACACACAGACAGACACGCACTGACATACATTTACTCACTCACTGACAGACACACACACTCACTGACACACACACACACACACAGAGGCAGACACTCACTGACATACATACACTCACTCACTGACAGACACAGATTAACATAGGGACCAGAGGCATAACTAGAAACCACGGGGCCCCAGTGTGAAAATTGCCCTGGGGCCCACCCATACATCTACCTCCTACCCTAAATGTCCCCGCCCCCCACACACATGCAGACAAACAGATACACATACAGACACATACATACACACAGAGACCCATACATACAGATATACATAGAGACACACACACACATACACTCATATACACCCGTACACTCAGACACATACATACATACACTTAGACACAGACACACATACACTTACAGACACACACATACACTCAGACACACACATACACACTCAGACACACATATACTTTCAAACACACATACACTTAGACACATACACATTCAGACACACACATACACATTCAGACACCCATATACACACAAATTATTATTACATGTCCACCCAGCCTCCCTACCTGGTGAGCTGGCTTGAATCTGTCCCTGGGCTCCAGTGGGGCTTCAATGCGGTGGGCGGCAGAGTTCCTGTCAGACGCGGCGAGGGAGCTGTGTTCTCTCTGCTCCCTCATGCCGCGCAGGCTGTCTACTGATGCCGGGAGCCGGAATATGATGTCCTATTTCAGCACCCGGCATCAGCAAATGGTGCGTGAGGGAGCAGAAAGAACACAGGTCCCTCACCACCTCTAACAGGAACTCTGCCGCCGGCCGGGGGAGGGGGGGTCCATTAGGTGGCCAGCGGGAGAAAACGGAGAGGGCAGCATCTAGGCGGCCAACTGTCGCAGGGGTCGTGTCTGTGGCCGGGCGACCTTCAGTGTCCGCAGCTGCGACCCCTGCAACTGTGGTAGATACGTCACTGATAGGGGCTGATGGAGCTGCAGTTCCAGGCCCATGCCCATGGAATATGCCCATTGATATTTACAGACTTCACTCTTCACATGCTCTTGCTTAAGTATGAGGTGCATGGTAACAAACCTTGTGTGGACTGGTTGACAATGAAATTAGTTAAGCTAATGCTGACTTTGGTCTCTCTAACACTGTGGCATATCCCATTTTTTTCTACACTTACTACATACATCTTTTTTCTGTCCCAGACTATATACCAGGAGTTTCTGCCTGCTAGTAAGAAGTTTAGGAGACAAGTGGAACTGTGAGTGCTAGGGGTCAATCCTTAGAAAATGTGGAGCCAGCGCATCATTAGACACATTTATGCCAAGCTCAGGTTGCTGACTGCACAGTATGCCTTTAGTTGGCCAGCTTGCATGATTGTCAGGCAGCCTGACATGCATTCATGCCAGACTGGCCTTCCAATTCTTTGGGCAGACATGCCCCCTTTTTTGGCATATTCGCCACTTTTTGCAGTTCTGTTTACGTGATTTGCATTAGTGGTACAACCTTTTACCCTGCCCATTGATTTCCTGCTTCACTGGGCACTGCTAGTAGGTCTCGATTTACTTGACAGATGTAAGCATACATTAGAGGGAGATTAGCATAGGGTATGTCCTTTATTGTAGCTGCATCCTATGAGTTCCCTCCAACACCATTTCCACCAGATACATGACACTTGTGCAGCATAAGTGTTTTTGTGTTTTTTGTTAATAAGGTTCTGTAATTAGGCCCATCATAATTGACAGCACCTCTCCACTGGGCACTTAATCTGGCTGCAGCACTGGCCCTGGAACCTACTCACTGCTTTTCTACTCTATTCCCTCACTCACTACTTTTACTCTGTGCCCCCACTCACTCACTGTGTATGCCCTACATTGCAGAGCATCCACTCACTCCTTCACTACATTGCAGAGCTCCCACTCACTGCTGCTGCCCTGCCCCATCTCACTGCTTCTACCATGTGCCCCTCCATCCACTCTCTGCTTCTACCCTATGCCTAGCCCACTCTTTACTTCTGCCCTGTGCCCCCACTCACTACTTCTTCCCTGCCTTCTCCCACTCACTGCTTCTCTACTCCGTGCCCCCACTCACTACTTCTGCCCTGCCTTCCCCCACTCACTGCTTCACTACTCTGTGCCCCCACTCACTGTTTTTCTACTATGTGCCTCCACTCACTGCTTCTCTGCTTTGTGCCCCCACTTACTACTTTTACTCTGTGCCCCCACTCAGTGCTTCTGCCCTACATTGCAGAGCCCGTACTCACTCATTCTGCTCTATATTGCATAGCCCCCACTCTCTGCTTCTGCCCTGGACCACCCCCAACCTCTGCTTCTGACTTATGCCTCCCCCACTCTCTGATTCTGCTTATGCCTCCCCCATATCTCCTCTTCTGTTCTGTGCCCCCCCAACTCTCTACTTCTAATCTATTTATCCCCCAATCTCTGCTTCTGCTCTATGCGATATGTGCCAGTATGTGTATCTGTGTGCCAAGGTATGTGCATCTTGTATTACAAAGATAGTGCTCTGGAACAGGACCAGCAACACGTCAAGGCAAGAAAGAAATATCCAGACACTCAAGTGTTGAAGCCGCAGGCAGGTTTTTATTGGAACAAAAAGAGCAGCAATGTTTCGACCTGCACAGAGGTATTTTTCAAGCTAACAGCACAAGCCAAACATCAGTGCATATAAAGCAGAAAATGCCAAAAGAAATCAAACAATAATTCACTGAATGCCCGTTCGTATGCTAAAACATACGAACGGCTTCCCATAAAACTAGCGTACATGTGCACGAATGGGATATAAATAAAGGTGCGCATATGAGCACAAGCAAAAAAATGCAATCTCAGACCAAGATAACTGTAAACATAAACAATAAGCTGAATAAGGCTTATTGTAAACATGTATCAATCATGTAATATAGTAAAATAAGCAGAAAAAAGACTAGAGGTAGGTAGGTAAAAATGGTATAAAAAATTTTATAGAAAGAATAACCAAATGCCACTAGGTGACCATAATATATAATTTTCACATAATAAAGTGCAAGTGCAAAAGTGTCATAATATAGCTTAACAATAAGCAAAATTAATAAAGTGCATACGTAAGTATAAAGTGAAAGTGTCGGACAATATATAAAAAGTGACCAAGTGCTAGAATAATCAAATATACTAATCAAAAAGTATTCTACATAGTGTCTTATTATATCTATAGAGTGTGCTAAAATTATCTTTGCAAATAGTTAAATACTTAAGTCATATAGTGTGTCTAAATCAGAGTAGTCCCAAATAAATCCAGAATCTCATGTCATGCTCAAAACAAGGGATTAGGGTGAAAAAAGAAGAACCAGCACCATATTTCCCTTATTTTTGGTAACAATTGATATAAATTCTGGGCCAGCTCAATTTTATATTACTTCTATTACATTTTTATTATTTTTTATTTATTTATTTATTTTTATTTTTTTGTTTAATTTTTGTTCTTTTAATTTAATTTTTTTTTCTATTTTTGTTTTATCTTTATATTTTTTTATTTGTCATTCTTTCTTCTTTTTTTTCCTCTTGTCTTTTTTTCTTTCTTTCTTTCCTTTTTTTATTTTTACTTTATATATTATTTTTATCTTATATATTATTTATATTACTCTCTCTAGTCTTTTTTCTGCTTATTTTACTATATTACATGATTGATACATGTTTACAGTAAGCCTTATTCGGCTTATTGTTTACGTTTACAGTTATCTTGGTCCGAGATTGCATTTGCACGCCTTTATTTAGTGCCGTTCGGCACTTTCATCCATATCCCATTCGTGCACATGTACGCTAGTTTTATGGGAAGCCGTTCGTGTGTTTTAGCATACGAACGGGCATTCCTCTTAATTAATCTTAATTCTTGTATAGCCCGTTCGTGCGCATGTCCATGCATTCCATTGCTTCTGTTTATGTATATAGCACTCTGACAAGCGTTTATACATTGTAGATCTTTCATTTATTTTATTTTTAATATTTAGTTTTTCGACACACGAACTGATATTTGGCTGGGCACCTATGTGGATCCGTAGAAGGGGCGGTCCTTTTGCATTCCAGAAGCCCTTCTGCTTTTCAATTAACCGGAAATGATTTCCTAGTGCTCTGACCAGTGTTTATACATTGTAGATCTTTCATTTATTTTATTTTTATCATTTATTTTTTCAACTTTGGTCTCTCCCTCCTCTGGCACATAGGGGTAAGTTATAGACTATTTCATATGGTAGAACTATAGATATATTATGCATGATTTGTACTGTATTGTGTTATTTTTGCTGGTGACTTTCACTTAAGTGAATTATTATGTGATTTATGATGGCATTTTCTGCTATATATGCACTGATGTTTGGCTTGTGGTTTTAGCTTGAAAAAGACCTCTGTGCAGGTTGAAACGTTGCTGCTCTTTTTGATCCATTTAAAACCTGCCTGCGGTTTCAACAATTGAGTGCCTGGATATTTCTTTTTTGGTATGTGCGTTAATGTGTATGTATCTGTGTAAGTATGTACAGGGAGTGCAGAATTATTAGGCAAATGAGTATTTTGACCACATCATCCTCTTTATGCATGTTGTCTTACTCCAAGCTGTATAGGCTCGAAAGCCTACTACCAATTAAGCATATTAGGTGATGTGCATCTCTGTAATGAGAAGGGGTGTGGTCTAATGACATCAACACCCTATATCAGGTGTGCATAATTATTAGGCAACTTCCTTTCCTTTGGCAAAATGGGTCAAAAGAAGGACTTGACAGGCTCAGAAAAGTCAAAAATAGTGAGATATCTTGCAGAGGGATGCAGCACTCTTAAAATTGCAAAGCTTCTGAAGCGTGATCATCGAACAATCAAGCGTTTCATTCAAAATAGTCAACAGGGTCGCAAGAAGCGTGTGGAAAAACCAAGGCGCAAAATAACTGCCCATGAACTGAGAAAAGTCAAGCGTGCAGCTGCCACGATGCCACTTGCCACCAGTTTGGCCATATTTCAGAGCTGCAACATCACTGGAGTGCCCAAAAGCACAAGGTGTGCAATACTCAGAGACATGGCCAAGGTAAGAAAGGCTGAAAGACGACCACCACTGAACAAGACACACAAGCTGAAACGTCAAGACTGGGCCAAGAAATATCTCAAGACTGATTTTTCTAAGGTTTATGGACTGATGAAATGAGAGTGAGTCTTGATGGGCCAGATGGATGGGCCCGTGGCTGGATTGGTAAAGGGCAGAGAGCTCCAGTCCGACTCAGACGCCAGCAAGGTGGAGGTGGAGTACTGGTTTGGGCTGGTATCATCAAAGATGAGCTTGTGGGGCCTTTTCGGGTTGAGGATGGAGTCAAGCTCAACTCCCAGTCCTACTGCCAGTTCCTGGAAGACACCTTCTTCAAGCAGTGGTACAGGAAGAAGTCTGCATCCTTCAAGAAAAACATGATTTTCATGCAGGACAATGCTCCATCACACGCGTCCAAGTACTCCACAGCGTGGCTGGCAAGAAAGGGTATAAAAGAAGAAAATCTAATGACATGGCCTCCTTGTTCACCTGATCTGAACCCCATTGAGAACCTGTGGTCCATCATCAAATGTGAGATTTACAAGGAGGGAAAACAGTACACCTCTCTGAACAGTGTCTGGGAGGCTGTGGTTGCTGCTGCACGCAATGTTGATGGTGAACAGATCAAAACACTGACAGAATCCATGGATGGCAGGCTTTTGAGTGTCCTTGCAAAGAAAGGTGGCTATATTGGTCACTGATTTGTTTTTGTTTTGTTTTTGAATGTCAGAAATTTATATTTGTGAATGTTGAGATGTTATATTGGTTTCACTGGTAATAATAAATAATTGAAATGGGTATATATTTGTTTTTTGTTAAGTTGCCTAATAATTATGCACAGTAATAGTCACCTGCACACACAGATATCCCCCTAACATAGCTATAACTAAAAACAAACTAAAAACTACTTCCAAAAATATTCAGCTTTGATATTAATGAGTTTTTTGGGTTCATTGAGAACATGGTTGTTGTTCAATAATAAAATTAATCCTCAAAAATACAACTTGCCTAATAATTCTGCACTCCCTGTATGTGTATACATCCCAGCAATCAAAAACATGAAGCTAGATCCTTGCAAACACAAACATTACATACAAACATGACCTGATTTCACACTCCAAAATTAAATATAAACACACCCCTTCACTCAACACCAATACTACAGTAGACACTACATCCAATTACACCTCTGAAAGCAAATATTACATACAAACAAAACCCTGTATTAAAAGGCTAAAATTATATGCAAACACTAACTCTTCTCAAAAACGTACACCTGAATTTAAAAGCCACCAATACATACAAACACACACCACTGCAATCAAACGCAAACACTACACACAAGTACACCACTGCATTCTACAGTACATACAATATCACCCATACCTGCACACGCATATACTTTATACAAAAACATGCTTACATTGAAATGCACAAACACTGCACACAAATACAACCCTGAAAAGATGGGCAAATGGTAGATCCCCAGCTGGCATAGAATTGTGGGAGTTGTACAACAGATGGGAATCTATCTTTTTGCCAATGTTATGCTAGAGGGGTAGGCCCAAAAATCTTTCCAGGTTCCTCTTTATATTTGTTCCACCAGTGGGTTGGTGTGGAGGGCGTGATTGCATGCCAGGGAGTGGGAGAGGGGCAGGGTCCAATGGGGCCCAAGCAAATGCTTGACCAGGGTCCAATCAATATTAAAGACGGCCCTCTACTTCATGCATATTAAATTGTTACATATATACGTATTTGATGGGAATGAAAGCCTTATTTCTCCTAATCAAAATGATATATAATAAGTGTGGGTGCACTTAATATGAAAGAGGTAAATTATGGTTGAACAGACATAAAACACAAAAGTCCAGGTTTTGTTTTGATCAGAACTTGTACAATTTTCTCTGTCCTTAACAGGTTAATGAAAGCCTGCATTGCAAAGTGCATGAATCCAAATAGACAGATAATTATTGTTCATACTGGACTATACATTTTGTGTAAATCCCCCTGCAGTTCAGTAAAAAAATGTTTTAGAAAACTCAGCTAATATTTAGAAGATGATAGGAAAGTTGCAAAATATTCAGTGATTAGTTGAAATGATGTATATGAAGGGTGATATATGACTAACAATTGTGGAATAAAGTTCTTGGTAAATATAATTTAAAATTAATACTTTATGATATGACTGTTTTACTATTACTATTTGTGTTTGTTTTCTGTTTAGTTGGGAAATGTTTAAGGAATATTAATCTTAATTCAGCATTCATTCTTATTGACCGTGGGGAACAAGAAGAATATATTGGTGTTAGTTTTGTGTGCATACTTATTTTTCTTCTGTATAAAAGCATTACTTCACTTTTGTATATTGGTGGGGGTTTGTAGTGCAATAAAAGTAAATAAATGTGTTTTTGACATTCTCAAATCGCATAGATGCAATACAACTCAATTGCATTTGATATGTTTTTGCCTTATATTCATGAGGTGGTGTTGTCCATTTTCAAATCTCCTTATGTACAGTGCCTTGCAAAAGAATTCACCCCTTGACTTTTTACCTATTTTGTTACATTACAGCCTTAAGTTCAATGTTTTATTAATCTGAATTTTATGTGATGGATCAGAACACAATAGTCTACATTAATGAAGTGAAATGAGAAAAATATATACATAAAACTATTTTGTGCCTATGTATGTTATGAAGCCTATGAAAAGCTCTGGTGCAACCAATTACCTTCAGAAGTCACATAATTAGTGAAATTATGACCACCTGTGTGCAATCTAAGTGTCACATGATAGGTCATTACATATACACACCTTTTTGAAAGGCCCCAGAGGCTGCAACACCTAGGCAAGAGGCACCACTAACCAAACACTGCCATGAAGACCAAGGAACTCTCCAAACAAGTAAGGGACAATGTTGTTGAGAAGTACAAGTCAGGGTTAGGTTATAAAAAAATATCCAAATCTTTGATCCCCAGGAGCACCATCAAATCTATCATAACCAAATGGAAAGAACATGGCACAACAGCAAACCTGCCACGAGACGGCCGCCCACCAAAACTCACGGACCGGGCAAGGAGGGCATTAATCAGAGAGACTTTTCGACCATCAAAGAAAATGCTATGTCTGGCGCAAACCCAACACATCCCATCACCCAAAGAACACCATCCCCACAGTGAAACATGATGGTGGCAGCATCATGCTTTGGGGATGTTTTTCAGCAGCCGGAACTGGGAAACTGGTCGGAGTTGAGGGAAAGATGGATGGCCCTAAAAAAAAAAGGGGATATTCTTGAGCAAAACCTGTACCACTCCATGCTTGATTTGAGGCAAGGACAAAGGTTCACCTTCCAGCTGCACAATAACCCCAAACACACTGCTAAAGCAACACTTGAGTGGTTTAAGGGGAAACATGTAAATGTGTTGGAATGGCCTAGTCAAAGCCCAGACCTCAATCCACTAGAAAATCTGTGGTCAGACTTAAAGATTGCTGTTCACAAGTGCAAACCATCCAACTTGAAGGAGCTGGAGCAGTTTTGCCAGGAGGAATGGGCAAAAATCCCAGTGGTAAGTGGTAAGTGATAAAGTGGCAAGCTCATAGAGACTTATCCAAAGCGACTTAGAGCTGTGATTGCCACAAAAGGTGGCTCTACAAAGTATTGACTTTAGGGGGGTGAATAGATATGCACATTGACTTTTTCTGTTATTTTGTCCTATTTGTTGTTTGCTTCACAATAAATATTTTTTTAAAAATCTTCAAAGTTGTGGGCATGTTCTGTAAATTAAATGATGCAAAACCTCAAACATTCCATGTTAATTCCAGTTTGTGAGGCAACAAAACACGAAAAATGCCAAGGGGGTGAATGCTTTTGCAAGGTACTGTACATACTCCGCTCAGCCAATGAGAGATGACATGACTCTATTTTCTATCTATTTTCTTGGATCTTGCCATTGTTGAGATAAGTTAGATACTGAAATACTTAGCACAGTATACTTAGAGCTAGATAGAATAGACTATCTTAAATAATGTGAGTAAAAAACATAGTTACATGTATAAGTGAACAAAATAGGAAAGGGAATTAAGGGATAGATGTGGCAGAACTTATTACCTATTTCATGTGTTTTCCCCTCATTTTGTCAGTTTCGTACTTCATACGAACAATATCCATTCGTCTCACGAATGAGGATCACCCCTGTACCCCATTAGAACGTTCACACCAACAACTTAAGTGTGAAACCACAAGGGAAGTAATTAATGAATGCCACCTCTGGGTGGTCACCATTTAGTATAACTGAACGCACGTGGTCGACAAAAGAATGGCGGCCATCTTGTCTCCCGAACATGGGCAACGTTACCTGGTCGTCGAGTGGCTTGAACTCTTTTCAGCGAGGCACTCACACAAACCTCAGTAAAGGTTAGACCGCTGCCCATTCTATTTCCCGACCACTTATACGAACGACGTTCGGGAGATATGAACTAACGAACAGGGGGAGCATTCGTATCCTGAAACAAAGAGATTTCCTTGCATGATGTTCGCACAGAAATGCCCTGAACAGAGACTGGCCAGGACACCTATTTCCCTGGAACTGCGCCTCGTGTCTGGCTGGTCAAAACATGACCTCGATGGCATTTCCGTTTCAATGACCCGATCTGAGTGATCTTTGGATATGTTATACACTCAGGTTGGGGCTATCCAGTGATGTACTTTTGTGAGGTTGCTGAGTATGGTGGGGGCACTTTTGGAATACTGTATATTTTGTATGGGTTTTCTGTACCTGAAAGATAATTGGATTATAGGATTTTTCTCAAGCAATTATCTCTCAGGCAGATCCTGGGATTGAAAACCCTGTATTTGTGTGTTGGAAACCCCATGTAGGGGTCTGGATATAAAAGCCATGTGGGGCCTGAATAAAATCAGTTGACTCCCAGGACTATGTTTCGTCTGGTTACTGGGTTAATGGATGTCTGCTTATTTTAATGGTTGCAGAGTGGCTGAGTTAAGGAATTAGCAGAGGTAATCGGTCAGGTTACCCTTGGTCTGCTACAATAGAAAAGACAGAAAACCTTACAAAAGATTGTAGGATGAAGCACATTTAACACTAAACAGAAGAAGCCCCCAAGAAGTCACAAGCGTCTATGGGTGCCATCCACCCCTCCTCCCCCAAAATGACTCACTGAAGTGTTTTCAGTAATCTTATAATGGAACAACATCCACTTCTATTTTGAGGACTTTAAAAACAGGATAGAGCATATGGTTCATGGTACCCCTTGCATTTAGGAAGCATAAATCACTCAACTTGAAAAATAATAGAATTAAACTTTATTGCATTATTAAAACAAATAGTTGTAAAAAAATAAAAGACAAACAAATTAAATGTTTTGGGTTTTATTAAAATTAGTCGAAGGCATAATACCAATATAATCATATGATGATATTTATGATTATATTCCAAAATGAAAGCACAACATTGACAAGTTGATCTAAGCTAGCGTTACTGACTCACCTAACAGCAAACCTTAGTATAATCTCTCAAGGATGGAGGCAATTTCCCAACTTCTGAACATACAAATATAAAACTAAAATGTGTGCTGTATATTGTTCCACCATAATTTTAGGGTGCCACAAACATACAAAAAGGGCTTTCTTTAATATCCTATGCACAACACAAAAAAATTAATAAAATATTAAACATGGCAAAAAAAAGAGAAAATATTTTGTTTTCACATGTTTGCTTATAATAATGTTTTCACATCAAATGCAATTAATAAAAAAGTGAAGTAAATAAAAGGATAATACACCCCAAAAAAATTTGATCACACATATAATACTTAGCACAGTAGGTAGAACACAGATCAAGAAGAGCGATATATAAAAAATAAATAAGAAAACACATATTGCTCACAATATATAAAAACATACATAAAATAGGTGGAATAAAACTCACACAGCAAAGAGCCATATCAGGTTCTATAGGAGATGCTCCTGTACAGGCTACGAAGTACACATATATGGGCCAAAGTAAAAGTAATAAGCAGTGCCAACAGGAATGTAAAATACAATAAAATGTATGCACCGCAAAAACAAACAAATTCACGAAAAAGAAAAATAAGATGTTTTGATCTATACTGTGTTTTTTTTATAGCTGTTCTAATATCCTATATTTATTCTCTGTTTTTCCATTGTTATATTTTTTCCCTTAACTGATATGGACATTTTAACTATTTGCCCATACTTTGAGACTTTGTATACCGGACATGACATCTTTATACTGTGCCACTTCGGGATGCAGACTGATGACATATTGGACCAAACCGGAAGTAACGTCACACCCGGGACTTACCTGTTCTGAATTTGGGCGATACAAGGGATATTTTATCACGAACTGAGAAGAGACAAGTCATCATTGAAGAAGACCTCTGAGAGGGTCGAAATGCTTCTGCTGCAACCTCCTGGGATATTTATATTTGCATTTACAATTTATTTATTTGTTTCGTGAATTTGTTCGTTTTTGCAGTGCCATACATTTTATTGTATTTTACATTTCTGTTGGCATTGCTTATTACTTTTACTTTGTTCCATATGTGTTCCAATAAATTTAATTTAATTTTACATTCACAGTTTGGACCATCAATCTCTTCCACGTCTATTTCGTAGCCTGTACAGGCACCCTGGAGCCTCTCCTATAGAACCTGATATGGTTCTTTGCTGTGTGAGTTTTATTCTACCTTTTTTATGTATGTTTTACATGCACAGTGAGCACTATGTGTTTTCTTATTTATATTTTATAGATCACTCTACTTGATCTGTGTTCTACCTACTGTGCTGAGTATTATATGTGTGATCACATTTTTTGAGGTGTATTATCCTTTTATTTATTTGTATTCATTATATGGGTGTATAAGGGGACACACCTTATAATTCAACCCTGCACTTTTTCTTCTTGTGAGAAGCACCAACACACGTTGCCCTACTTTTACTTTAAACTAATGAAAAAGATCTCAAAGTAGACTCACTTATCAGTCTTGATTGTTAAATGCCTCATATTTCTAGGATCTAAATATATTTTTGGTAGTTAATGCTAACCCTATGCTAACACGTCCCACTAATCCT